GGGTATCTTGTTGCCACTTGGGAATTTCTTCGGGGGTATCCACACAGAAAGCCTCTAGCTGCGCCATGTCTTGTCCAAGATACAATCGACTGATTGCCATTGATGATATGCTGATCAGAGTAAGATATGGGTCACCCATTGAGAAAGAAGTCTCGAGGGAAGCTTCCAAGGCCGGTAGGGTTGATGCCATAGAAACACGTAAATGGCTGACGTAGAGATTATGAACGATCGAGCCTCTGCTTTGAGTTGACAGTTCAGAGCAGCGCTCGAGCAGCTCTAACGAAAGTTCGCTAAGTTTTGTGCCAAACTCGATATCTTTGAAGCGACTGAAGGCGATCATGGCAAGATGGGCACAACCTATTGCGATCTGCGTGAATCCACCCCTAAAGATATGAATGTTCATTTTCTCGAGTGTCATCCGATAAAAGGTCAATGCATCGTCCCAGTACGTGACTGTCATCGCCTCCGCCATGACTACGCCGATGGTCACTACAGCGGGGTCTTTGGAGACTGGCTTTTGGGCAATAATCCCGAGGTCAACAGTGTCAAAGTAGGATTTGAGGCGAAGATAGCCAGCATCGCACTCCTCATAAGTCGTAGGCTTCCGAAGATGCACACCCAATTCATCAAGGCAGGTGAGAAGTGATTCCATCGAGCGGTGATGATCGCCTATCTGAGCGTATATTTTGGCTTGAATGATCCAGGCTTTCGCCTTGCTTACCGCGTCCTTGCCGTGGATGAACACCTCGTTGATCAACTTGAGGGCTTCGTCATTGTGGCCCTGAGCCCATGACATTTCAGAGGTCGTGATAAATAGCCTCATAGTCTCTTCGTAGTAAACGTCGGGTTTGAGGTCATTCCACATATCCTCCTGAAGTAAATCGAGGGCGTGACGGAAGTACCAAAGTGCGGAGGGACGCGCGCCCGACTGGAAAGCAGTTTGTCCGGCATCCCATAAGATCCGTCGATATTCGAGGCGTCTGCTGACGCGAGACTTGATAGTCTGTGACGCAAGTGCCACATGATGTGCCATCGAATAGCGACTGCGATGGTCGTGGTAATATTTCATCAGCGCTTGTGACACAATGAAATGCATCTTCTCGACATTTCGGCCCTCACTCAAGGAAAGAGCAGCCTGTGCAAGTCGTTCATTGCCGAACCTAGAAACATTAGTAAGAGTTTTGGCTATAGGAGTAACCAACAGTAGATAGCTCACCTAAACTCATCGTCGGTCTTCCCCGTGTTCAAGAGGTTTGCTTGAACCAAAAACTGCAATCCAACAACTATATCACCTTCTGATTGTCGGATAAGTGTGACATTTTGGGGTGATGTGAGATCAACATCCTCATCTTCATTGCTCGAATAAAGAAATTCACTCGTCAAAAGCTTTTGCACAAGAGAAAAGGAGAACGGGCTCCCCAGAACAGCTCCCCAGATCATGATTGATCTAGCGGCTTGGGGGATGTCCTGAAGACGCTTGGTAAGAAATCCAAGTCCAAGCTCTTCGCCGTAGACAGGAGCCACAAACTCCGTAAATATCCGATCAAGATCGAATAGCCACTTTGAGTCCTTCCATGAATACCAAATACAGTTTGTTCTGTAACAAGTCTCAAGCATTACCCGAACGTAGAAGGGATTTCCTCGGCTCTTCTCCTGAATGACCGCACAGAGTGGTGTCAATGTTTGGTCAGGTTTCTGGTGCATTGTCACTGCTACAATCTCCATGACATGCTGCTCCCCGAGGGGCTCAAGAGCGATTCGTGTGACCGTTGGTACATCTTCCACAAATAGAGACCTCACCTGGTCAGACGCAATCTCGTCCTTGCGGCTTGACAGTATGAGCACACATGGGAGCTTGGCTTTGATAATTTTCAATACCAAGTCCAAAGTTTCATCGTCTGCATGTTCCAGATCATCGAGACATACTGTGATCAGCTTGAATTGACATAGCGTCCGTAGGATCTCAAGAAATGTCTCCATGAGGCGCATGTTCTTCGAGGCGGCATTTGCCAAAAAGAAATCCTGGGAAGTCTGCCCATGGTCCAGCCCGGGGATGTTGACATGCTTGGATGGCTCGCCCTTATCTGGCACGAAAAGGTTGGCCTTTGGGTCAGTCGGCCTGTACTTCGCGCCAGGGGACATCAGCTGCTCTGGGAGATCCAAAACTCTATGAAGAGTAGGCCACATCGGTCGCAGGGCGATTCTAACACTGTTGTGGTAATCGGTGGTGACATCACGCTCGGAGAATATTTGGCGCAAAAGACTGGCCAGTAGTTTGGCAAAGGGCTCAAATGGGACACGTTTGGCTCGGTCCAGACGAGTAATTGCTATGCATCCGAGCTTGCGAACCGTTGGCTGGATTCGGTTCAAGAGGTCTGTTTTTCCAATCCCAGCGGGACCACTAATTGTGATCACTTCACAGCGCTCGCTGCGGCGAGACTTCCCACCATTTCTGTGTTTATGCAAAGAATGAAGTGAGCCTGACTGACTAACAGTGTGATTTGTTGATGGCTGGCTGTGAGGACCGATGGAGGGGTGACTCTCTCGGTCTGTATTATGGGAAGACCGAGAATGCGATGGGCTCTTGACCCTGCCGGAACCTGGTCTTGGGCTTTGGCTATAAGCATCGGGGACAATTGTATGATTCGGAGTAGCAAACGACGTATCACTACCCGGCGCAGATTCATTGGTGTTTACTTGTGCAAGACTGTGACTGGTGACGTTAGAGGACGATCGAGGAGGCAAAATGAAGGAGCCAGAATCGCTAGATACAGAAGCAAACTCGAGGCTTTCGATGCGGCTTTCGGAGATGGACGAAGCCGATGTAAGAGCGTGCGTTGTACCGGGACTTTGGGTTCCGGCTTTGGCCAAGGCAGCCGCCTGGCGCCTATTGACCTTTTGAATGATACTCATGATCTTGTCATATTCTTGTTGCCGCCCGAACATCTGTGTTGGGAGAGTGAAAAAGGAAGACACATCTCCTTGCGCGACTTGAAAGTTGCTCAATGCTTCACTGTCACCATCACCAAGCAATTTCGCAATATGTGTCAAGTCTCTCTTCACAGATGAGATTGTGTGATAGCGATCATGAACCACCTTTTGTGTCATTTTTTGGATCACAGCTGAGAGGGCATCGGGAACATCCATTCGTTTCCCCGATACTGGCACTAATCTCTTGCCTAGCACATTTTGTACGACTTCGACGGGGTCGGTTCCTTCAAATGGTAGCTTTCCTACCAGCATGGACCAGAAAAAGAGGCCTAGCGCATAAATGTCAGTGCGACTATCTGGCTCTGTGGGCATCCTTCCAGTCTGCTCTGGGGCAATAAATTGCAGCTTGTACTTGGCTCCTAGTTCACGTGAAACGGAGGACCAGCCCTCGCTAAGAACGTTATCAAAAGACCTAGCACCGTTGCCGGTGTTCGCAAGCTTAACTGCACCAGTCTCCGCAGAGAAATGGAATGCATCACCTCTGATTTCGCCGTGCACTGTCTTCAACCCATAGTGTAGGATCTCCAGGCAATCGCATGCCCCGATTGCAAAATCGAAGAATGCTTGTAAGGAGACCTGCTCGCTGGGGGTGGCATTGTTGTCTTCACCTCTGGACCCTGCCACAAATGAGGCGGGGCCGAAGGTGACCAGATCTCGCAACCTGTCGTGACCTGGAGACTCAAAGATCGCAACCAGCAACGTCTTTGAGTGCCCATTGTCCGGCTGCAATCTGATCAAGTCGACTGGTCGTATTGTATGATTACAATCTGGATCTGACGACTGTACAATTGACCTGAGCATGTGAAACTCTCGTTCGAGCCGGATAATGTTGGTGGAAATTCGCGCGATGACCGGAATCCATGTTTGTTCTGTCTCCAGGCTATGCTGGTTGGAAAATGAAATGTCACTACTGGTTTCGCTGGCGCTCAATCTGCGCAAGGCACGGGCGGACGGCCGGGCTTCTGTGCGCGGAGAAAAGCGTGTGAGGCTCGACGGTCCGGAGGAGGCGGGATTGGAGGAATTTGCGAGAGGAGTTAAAACATCTGGCTCTAAAGCGTGACGATACCCTGCGATATGCCAGTGATTGTATGTCGAGTGAAAGGGTTCGATCGCCTGATCCCAGGTATAGCCAGGTAACTGGCCTAATCGTTCGAAAAGTCGGGCCGGCGGAAGTGGCAGGTCTTCACCGAAAAGAGTACTCTCCTCCATCTCTCAAGTTATTGAGTCGTCTCTGCCCGATTTACTACCATGGGCATGTCCCAGGGCGATGGATCGAATTCAGCGGGGGGATGAGGATAGGATGATAGGAGGGGCATAAAAGATGCAGGTAGCATCTACGAGATAGATTATTCTCAGTAAAATGTACAGTGAACCGTTACGGTAGTGTCGCCTTTAGGCGTGTAAAAATCAAAAACAAAAGACTTGAAACAAACCAGCTCAGCTCTAGAATTGAAGATCGTAAGAAATCTGGATGCCTAAGGCCTATAACTTAGTCAGCTGACCGGATTAGGGCATCTGATTGATATTTTCCCTTTATGGCAATGTTTAGAATGAGGGGTTTGAGGAATATAACTGTTATTCATCTGACATCATTGAGAAGCTATGGTCTATTTGATTTTTGATATATGCAGGTCAACTTAAAATAGAATCCCAGGAGCGGCCCGTAGATGCTATTTTAGCCCCTAGTATCACAAGCCATCAAATATATAAAAGTTTACCTAATTTTGTCTTGATCCATATCAAGTCCTTGACGATTTTCACCATGTCAACAACTATAACTTCACAAAGCCCTAATAACCATGATATCTGATATCAGATCGGAGAACTAAGAATATGTCATATATGTATAGATTAAAGTCGGCTCTTGTGGGGATGCTCCACGTCGGGACCTCGGCACTCACGGCATTCAGGTACTAAAACCGGTTTAGCATCTATAAAAGGTCTTGAAGACCTCCTTGGATCCTCTTCTTCTCACCTCCATTTTCGTTATTTTCTAGCAAAGTGGCATCATGAGCTCCCTCAAGGAACCCCTCGGGCTCCTAAAGGCGCTGTTGGCCAGGGTCCCGCTGATCCTCAAGACCATCCTCCTGCATGGCATTCAAATGTCCCCCGTCAAGGGGAAACAGGATATGCGCACTGAATTAACCGTCGCCATTATCCGCTCATTCATGGCAACAAAAGCACCACTCGGAAAAACCCAGAAACAAGGCCTACGCGACCCCGGGGTGAAGGGTCCTATGTGGGTGTCCAAGGTGACCCTCCCACAGCCCGAGGTCGACGTGCGCGACGCAGTAATACGCGCAATCGAAGATCTTAAGACTGGCGATGAGACATACGATATCCCAGCGACCACCGCCGTCGAAGCCGAATGGACTGGCTACCGCGCCGGAGTTGGAAAGAAAACACCAGAGCCCGATCTCTCAGAAGAGGACAAATACCACAAGTTGCGCGCTGAATCGCCGTCTGATATGACAATCTTGTATTTCCACGGAGGTGCCTATTTGTAAGTATCGTTCGATCCCTTAGCAAACCGTGCACCTGTCTGACGCATTCCAACCAAAATTAGCCTTCTAGATCCCTGCAGTCACCGCGTCCCCGTCGCACACTTGTCTCACCTAACCGGCGCGCCGGTCTTCTCCGTCCGATATCGCCTGGCTCCTCAAAACCCATTCCCTGCTGCACTCGTCGACGCATTAACAGCATACCTCTCGCTCCTCCACCCGCCCCCAGGCTCACTCCACAAACCCATACCAGCCCACAAGATCGTATTCGCAGGCGACTCAGCTGGCGGGAACCTCTGTCTAGTCCTCCTTCAAACACTACTGACCCTCGACCGCGCATCCCACACAATCCGCTTCCACGGCAAAGATGTGCCCATCGAACTGCCCGCAGGTGTCGCAACCATCTCCCCATGGTGCGACGTGACACGCTCTATGCCGTCTACCAGCGGAAATGCACATCTCGATTACCTCGAGGCACCAGCTGCGCCCTCAGACGACCCATCTGTCAAGACTCCGTTCACCCCGCTCCCTTTCACACCAGACGATATCTGGCCGACTTCCCCGCCTCGCGCAGACGTCTACTGCAACGCTAGCATGCTGAACCACCCATTGGTGTCTCCGCTTGCTGCTCCCGTTAGTCTCTGGAAGAACGCACCGCCTATATGCGTCTCGACTGGCGAGGAAGGCCTCACAGACGAGGGACTCATTCTGGCGCGCCGCGTCCACCAAGCTGGTGTACCCCTCGTTGCGGAGATGTTCGAGGGCATGCCGCATTGCCACGGTATACTTATGATGGACAGGCCGGCTAGTCATCGTTTCTTCGAGAGCTTTGCTGGGTTTTGTCGTGATGCTGTTGTCGGCCGGGTGGTGTCGACGGGGAACCTCACTTGGTTGGGCTTCAAGCTGCAGTTGACAAAGGAGATCCCGATCGAAAAGGCTTGTGAAACCAGTGATGAGGAGGTTGAGGCCCTCATGCAGAGAATGTGTGCTTGGAAGCGCGAGGGAGAGATCGAATTGCAGAAGCAATGGCGTGCGACAGCACGGTTGTGAGTTGTTTTATACATGCTTTTTTGTCCTCATTTCGCATAATACCCTGTTTATATTTTTAATGATTTTCATGGCGAATGGTGTACGTGATGAGTAGACCGATAGGGCACATTCATGTGTATATATAAACAAAGTAAAAAAAGAGGAGGTGCCAACCCATTAATCCCCATCCTGTTGGTACCGCCACCCTCTTTAGGATAGGGATCTGGTCCTAAATACCGTGCGTGGTGTGGGTATACTTCCATAGGTAAGTCGTTCTGCCTAACGGGTACGGCAGCGGCACTAGGCTAACTGACGTATCCAGCTTCGAGGACCCCTACTTCAGATGACCCATCCGCTCAGCTAACCAGGGCGATTGGCAGGTACCTAGGTAGGAAGCATTTTGCCTGGCATATAAGGGGCCTCCTAGGTCATAACCTGGGCTTTATCCGCCCTATCCCTTGTCTCTATCACGACTGCTGCTTCTGCCAATTACGCTTTAATTACTATTATACTACTAATTTGTTGTCTATACCTACTTCATCATCAAGCCATACCTTATACTCATTGAGCGGTTATATGGTCATGTACATAGATCACTTCAAATGCTTGATTACTTTCTTGGAGAAACAGTCTCTATAGCTAGGATTGCATTGAATAGTAGCTTGAAGGAAAGAAAGCAAACCTCATGATGATTTGAAGAACTTTTCTAGGAACTAAAGATATTCATCATTGTCCATTGCATCCTCCCCCGACACCTGGATATTGTCCCACTGCTGCGGGGGCGGGTTCCGGGCTGACCAGACAGGCTGCACTGTTTCCACAGGCTGCTGCGTATAGTGAACCTGCTGTTGTTGAGGTACATTGTTTTCAGGTGTGGGCGCTGACAGCCAAGGGAACGCAACAGGTGTTCCATTGATGCGGATTTCGCCAATGATGTTTCCAAGCTCCGGCGCATCATCCACGTAGCCATCCGAAAGGCCAATCAACTGCGCCACGAGCCGAGAGAAAGCAACACAGATGGCGAAAATAGGCGTGAAAATAGTCGATAGATGTGACCAGCGCCACAACATGGTGACAGTTACCCAGGGGTATAAAGGCGCATCGGGTTGCAGGCAGTAGCCTTCGCAGCTTTCGGATATCTCGGGATGACTATACTGGTCCCACATCAGACATTCGATGATATACCACGAGAGTGAAATGATGATGAACCAGCCCAGCTTAGTGGGCCGGAGGCGCTGAGATCGCAGGCTCCGCTGCCACAGCCGAGGAAGAGGTATCGCGGCGTAAACTCGTCCATCAGAGTGCGTGTCACAGCCTTTGCAGGACTCGCTCGTGTGCAAGTGTGATGACTGCGGGCTCTTTTTGTTTGACGAGGTTGCCTGCAATACAATTTCGGCGTCTCGTGTAACATGCCCTTCTAGCCCATCAAGCCCTTTCTTGACTTCATCAATATGTTTCATTAGAGAGTTGAGCTTGACATTCAATGAATCCAAGTTGACCGCATCATTCCCTGTTGAGCTGGCATTTTGGAGCTGGGCAAGAACGGCCTTTTCGTAAGCTTCGTCATCTTCCTCGACTTTTGGTCCACCTGGCGCGTCCATAAATGCTTGAAGAGACTCGATGGTATCATCTCCGAACTCGACGTCTTTGCCAGAACTGGCATCCTCAATGACCGTCTCTAAGGCACTTTTAGGTAGATGAGGTCGCTGTAATGGGGGCCTCGACTGCTTTCCAGAAAGTGGTTCGGGAGGGGGCTGTTTTTCGGTATTCTGCGCGGGCTTCGACTCCTCGGCTTTCAATTTGACATCTATTGGTTTCGTAGGGGGTGCAATACCCTTGGACTCATTCGTTACACGTGGAGCAATGAGTTCCTTTGTCAGATCTTCGGGAAGCTCAACCTTGTCAGCCACCCGCTGGGTCATAGGAGTATCAATCCACGCCCCAGTTACCCGAGGGGTCTTGTCGTAGATTTTGTTTTCAAAGAGTTTGATTGGCTCAGGAGTTTGAACCTGATCAATTTTGGGACTTTCAGTCCTGGAAAGTTTGCGTAGTAGATCCCTGGAGTCGCGCTTGCTGGGGCTGGGCCTCGCGAACGATGAGTTTTTGAACACAGTGATGGGAGAATTGGGGATTGGTTCGCCACCACTAGTGGGTGAGATCAGCTTTGGGCCAGACTGCGTTTCGCCAAAGTCTTCCTGCGTTGTCTGCATATGCGGATTGGCGGTGCGTTCTTCAAGAGCGCTTCTAGCAGAAAGTGTGCTCCGCGCCGGAGAAAGAGGAGAGGTCCGCGTAGGTCCATTGGTTTCTTCCCTGATAGCTGGCGACCAGCGTCGACGCGCCTTTTCCTCCTCTTCCCCTTCAGAGAAACTACGTTGGCTTGGCTTTCTCTCCCATTCTTGCCGGTGACCTGCCCGATGACCCCAACCAGTGGGTATATTTGGCGACGGAACACCGTTCCTGTCGAACTCTAGCGCATGTTGATCCGCCTCGGCCTTGTCTTCCATTCGCCTTCTCAAATTATCCGCTGTCAATGCATCCCGTCCGACCTGAGCCCTACTAAAGACCGGGGAGCGTTGGCCCGTGACACGCTTTAGGCGCTCTTCATCCTTAGTGTAGTCCCTGCTCTTGCGAACTCGATGGTCGCTAAGTTCATCGCCAAAGCCAACGTCGGAAAAAGGTCGTCCAATGGCAGAGCCTCTGCCATTGTTTACATCCTTTGCTCGGGAGGACGGGGGGCGACTTCGGCTTCCGGAGCGTGCGGTGGCTTGTGGCTCCCAGTCGTAGTCGCGCACAAGATCAGCTAGAGCGTCATCTTCGTGAATTCGCCTATATGCGTCTTCGAGTTCTTTGGGGGGAGGAGAAGTCTGGGATATTGGCGAGAACGCGTTGATCGGCTGCCGCTTCGATCGCGGGCTTGGTGATGTCACATAGTGGGATTCTTCGTCGTATGTAGTGGACATTGCGTGTTTTGATGCGTCCCGGTATGCATCAGCTAGAGATCTCGGCCGAATCGCATGTCGTGGATGCGGACCATCTTCTTGAGGGGGTGATGGGAGCTTCGCGGGTATATCGTAATGGTCGAATTTCGAGGCGCGTCGGAAAGGTGACGGTTGTCTGTCTCGTGAGACTCGACTGTTATTGTCGAATGGCATGACCGAAATACCCCTTGAAATAAAGGGTTCACATGTAGAATATGGAGTGAAGAAAGGGGAAAGACGCGGTTCTCCTGCGCCGTGAAGAAATGACGGAGGTAAATACTCATTCCCCAATGTGGTTAGGCCGGCTGAATTCCTTCCGCATTACGTCGACTCCAACAATTTATCTTCTTGACTTGTCTTTTACTACTCGTATTTGCCCTTCGGATATATCAGGAGAGCATCTACAACCTCGTGATGCTCAAATGATTCTCACATCATTTTGACATGTGACACCTATACCTTCACTCGCCTTGTCCTCGAAAGCTTCAATAAAAGCAACAAGATTCGCATACTTAAAACTCCAGCTCAAATCATATCCAGCACCTTAGCGAAATATATATCTATCAACCGCGACAGTAATGGCAAAATCATCACGGCGCTCAGGTCGCGGCAAGACGCCATCCTCATCCGGGGCCTCAACACCAAGCTCCGCATCCTCAGGTCCCATCCCACCATTCACCAAAGTCCCGCAAGCCTTGCAAGCGTTCGTCGAACCACTCTCCCCCGATGAAGTATACCTAGTCCACATCGACACAACCGCAGAGGAACTGAAGCGGCAGACGTTCACCGTACCCCTCATAGTCAACCTGGTAGTAGCTGCTGTGATTGGCTTGCGGGTGTACATGGGCATCAGTACCTACCCAGCGCTTTTGGCAACGCTGATCGGGCTCCAAAGTTCTATGGCTGTGGACAACGCAACCACCCCCTGGACAGACGCGGTAGGAATCATCCTGCGCCGGACTGGAACTATTTGCATCGACTACTTCCTCGTGACCCTGCTCTGGTCATGGCCTGTTAATTTTATCAGAGGGCCCGTGCGCTGGCGTCGCGCCGTCGGTTTCCGCGAGCGAGAGATCATCGTCCGCCGTAGTAACCGTACATGGAGCAAGGATCTCAAGCGCAACAAATGGATCCGCGATGACGATGCGCGTCGCGATAAGATCGTCGCGGCTGTGACCCCCGAGCGAATCGGCAAGACTGGTTACTTGCTCGTGGACGAGGATTGGAATCTAGACTATGCGGCTATGGTCCGCGCTCATGCCCTTGTTGATCGCACTCGCAGGGGCGATGGTGTACAGTTGGATGAATTCCGCACTGCCGTGCTGGTTAACACCGATGCTGACGGTTGGCTGATCTGGCGTGTCGGGGATGACAACACTCCCGCTGGTGAAAAGCAATCCGTTCAGCGCGACCAAATTCTTGCCTTCAAGGAGAAGTTGGCCGAGATGGGCAAGGAGGATCTCTTCCTCCGTTGGGTTGAGCTAATTCAATGGGAGAGCTCGCAGCCTGGTGGCTTCACTGCGGAACGGCAACGGTCTGCAATGCTACAAGCGAAGCAAATGTTTGAAGACGAGAACGTGGATTTCAGTCAATTCTGGGACGACATGGGCGGCATGGAAGGGGAAGGATTAGACTAGTTATTTATTGTTTTATGATCATGCTTACATTTCACTCAACCTCGGCTTACTCGACATATAAATTCCTCTAGGGCTCCCTGTGCGTGCCTGATTATGTTTTGACGTGTTATAAAGCTCGACAGGAACCTCATGCCCTACATCACTTCAAGTAAAATGATATATTCAGCTGTAGATTGCATTGTTGGGTATCTGGACTAAATCAATTCAAAAGCAAATGAGACATGTATCGATCCCCGAATGGTGCATAATCCGCGCTGCAAACACTGAGGGGATAAACCAAAAAAGATAACGAAAAGAACAACGCAATGACATAGTACGCCAGAGTTTGTGGGGATAGAAACAGTCTATGGTGCGCCACCCTCGAGCCGATAGTCAAGAGACCATAGTTTCTCCCACGGACGAGATCGAGGATTGTGTCGGCGATCGGATGTCGACAGAGGGGGAGAAGAAGCGGTGCTACTTATGTTTGGTTGAGCCGATGCAGAGATAGGATCCTAAGTTGAAGAAAACATTAGCAACTGATATCAGATCACATAAAACAGACCCGGAAAAGATGGAAGATAAATAAGTCAATCCCTACTTTTCACGGGCCGGAGAGCAGGTCACGGCGAACCTCGTCGAAGATGGGAGCAGTCTCTCGAGGCTGCGAGCCAGCATCAGCTTCGGCTAGGCGTACAAGATCAGTAGTGGATTCGACAGCGTGTTGCGACGGCGTGGGAGTGCCCCGCTTGGAATTTGCGCTCTCACGGCGGCTATCGAGACTCCTGGATAAGGTTTTGGCAATGGCGCCCTCGTCTGTACCACGTTTGAGGCGGATGCTACCCTTGGCATCGACGTGTGCCGATGCAACTGTACTCTTTGCTATGCCTGGCGTGGCAGGCGCACCAGGCTTCTCTTCTACCGCCTCAACGAGATACCAACGGAGGCCATCTGAAAGCTCGAATGGATTCTCGTCCTCTAGAGAGGCGCCGTCGCTGACTTCTCCGAGGGAGCGACGGTCTAGTGCAACGCCATTCATTGACTTGGACAGATCTACAACCCGTTCCTCGATCTTGGTGATGCGGGCGAGAAGCCAGTCTCGAGCTTGTAGTTTGTGCGAATCCTGCTCGCGGAGGAAATAGTGCGGCGCACCCACGTTGAAGGCGGCCCAGGAGCGAATGGCCTGGTTCCGTGTGGGAAGGAAGAGAGCAAGGTCGCCTTCTTTGAAGGATCTGTAGGCAATCTTGTCGTGAGCTTCGCTCTGAACTCGGTGGTACTTTTCACGATAGCCTCGAGCTTCCTTTTGCCATTTGCGGGCTAGGAGTTCGATGTCCTTGACGCGTTTGACAACAACATCACCAAATACGGACACGTCAAACTGAGCTAGGCTTTCCATGAAAGCTGAGAATTTGGTCTCCTCATCTTCCAAGCTTTCGGCGTTCACCCAGTCCAGAAGCACCGTATCCGGCTTCAGGGATACAATACCTGACTGGGCGAGGCTTTCGCCTAGGCCCAATGATGCACTGAGCTTCGAAGCCCGCTGGACAAGAAGCTGGCCGTCTTGCTGGATGATGGTGAAACCCAATTGCTCAAGCATCCGACCCAGCTTTTCAACCTGTGCGATCAGCTGATTTGAAAGCTCGAGGGACTTGGCACCTCGAGCTTCGAACCGCGCCACAGCCTGCTCCTCGGTCTTCGAAGTGGCCCCTGCCTTTCTCTCCCATTCCGCGGCCTGGTCTTTGAAATTTTGAGCTTGGCTCTCCGCTTCAGCCAGTTGCCGAGACAGCTCTGCCTGTTTCCGTTCCTCTTCGGCGATCTGTTCACGAAGCGCGTCGGAGCCACTCTCTCCGGCAGTCATCTGAGAGTGCAATGAATTGAACTTGGATCGCTCTTTGTCCAGTTCACCGGTCAAGTCCTCCGACTTTGATCGCTCTCTGTCTAGTTCACCGGTCAAGTCATCCGACTTTGATCGCTCTTTGCCCAGTTCACCGGTCAAGCCCTCTAGCTTTGATCGCTCTCTGTCTAGTTCACCGGTCAAGTCATCCGACTTTGATCGCTCTTTGCCCAGTTCACCGGTCAAGCCCTCGGACTTCGATCGCTCGTGTGAGAGTTCTCCAGTTAATTGCGACAACTGGGCTTCGCATTCGTCGAATTTCTTTGTCCGCTCTTCTGCCTCGGCCTCCAATTTCACAATTTGTTCTTCCAGGGCCTTTTTCTCCGCTATTGCTTGAGAAGCATTCGATTCCGCGCTCTTGGCGTGGATCGACAGACCCTCGGAAAGAACCTCAATGGCTTTGATTATGCCAGGGAGTTCGACAGGCACAATGCCCCCAGGAGAGAGGTTCAAGAAGATAGCTTGGAGATCTTGGTAACTCTCCTGGTGCTTTTGCTCAAACTCCGCTTGTCGCTGTTCCAGATCATCAATCTTAGCCTGGAGGCTTTCTTCCCGCTCCTGTCGAGTCTGAATCTGTGTATTGAGATCATTGATTTTCTGTGCATCCTCGGCGGAATTAGCGTGAGCATTTTCAAGGTCGGCTTCGAGCTGGTGCATGCGATCGTCAAGATCTTGTCTTTCCCTGCCATCCAGAATTCGGTCAAGCTCTTCTTCCAACTCCTCGGTGCGGAGTCTAAATCTCTTTAGCTCCGAGTCGAGATATCGGCGCTCATCTTCGAATTCGCGTTGGCGGGCTTCGAGATTGCCTATGAGGTCCTTCTTTGTGGATTGGGCTTCCTGGAACTTGTCGGAGTGCGTTTGCCGCTCGGCATGGGCTTCCTTATGGAGTCGCTGGACCACATCTTTCTCAGCCGCCAGCTCTGCTTCAAGCGTAACAATACGCTGGATGAGTGCTTTATCTTCGGCGGACTGAGTTGCCGAGACTCGCCTCGAAGAGACGGACGACCGTCTAGAGAGTGCATCAGGGTGCGGAGATGAAGGTGAACCAGGGAAGTCTGGACCAAAATTGCCGCTCGCTGGCCGGCTGAGGTGACTCTGACGATGCAAAAGATCTTCCAATTTCCGGACGCGGCTGTCAGATCCCTTGAGCTTTTCTTCTAATTTTGTCTTTTCTTCTTGTAAGCTACGGACGGAGTCATCGGCGCGTAATATAGAGCTCCGGCTCAAGTCAAATACGCTGCCTTGTTTGAACGCTTTGGCCCGTCGTCTTTGCTGCCGAGTGGGTGCATCCAGCTCCTTGAGTTGCTGGGTGAGCTCTTCTGCTAAATTGGTCAAGGAATGTGTGGTCTTCAAATCGTCGATGTAATACTCGATTTCTTTCCGAGCTACTTCAGGCCATTCATCATCCTGACCTTGAAGGTTAACTTCAATGCCTGGTGGGGTGGAATCAGTCACTGTCATAAAGTCTCCCATATTCTTCAGCCATTTTTTCCTGCGGCGTTGCTCCTCATCTCTCAAAACTGCCATCTCCTCAGCCAGCGTCAAAGAGTCGGTCTTGATCTTATCACTCCATTCTCGCCGCCGCACGGATTCGATAAGAATCGACCCATACACCATTGGCATTTGGAAGACAGAGTAGATGACCTCAAAAGCATTACTCCCCACGTCTAGATTGACAATATGTGCATGTGCGTCGGCAAGTCTAGACTCAAGGGAAGATATCGTGCGCATATGTTCAATGGACTTTTTCTCTACAACCATCCGGCGCTGGACGGATTGCTCCAGCGCAGCTTGCAGCTCGATGCTAGTTTCCGCCAGCGATGGAAGGAGGTCCTGGGTATGGCTGAATGCAAGTCTTGATATATTGGCCAAGGTTTTTTGGTTGTTTGGCAGACCGAGAACATGCTCATAATCGGAACCGATCTTCTTCGCAATAGTTTCCACTTCTTCCAGTAACCCATCCACCCCATCGAAGCTTGAGGCAAGGGCCTCGTCCACCAGTTGTTGAGTATCCGAGGCAATGTCGCCAACTGTCTTCTCAATGTCATGGACGTTACTAGCAAAGGCTTGCGATACAGTCGTGGCCTCAGATCCAGCCCATTGAACCTCCCCTACATCGACAAAGTCTCGCAGCGTTCCGGTCGGTCGATCCTTGTCCATTTTCGGCGTAGACGGGCGTCCAAGAAGAGGGAAATCTTTACGTGCTGGGATGTTGTCCAGTGTGGAAAGAGCTCGTTGCCAGCCATCTAAAGCGGCCCGCTGCTCTTCTAGAATGCTATTCGCCCACGTCTGTGCCTCTTGGAACCGATGCTCGAGGTTACCCACATGAGACTTGAGGTTTTCTAGAGCCACGCCCACCGCGCGGTTTATAACGTCGATTCGCTCGTGATGTTCTCGGACGTTCTTATCAATCGACTCACAGCGACTGGACAAGTCCAGTGCCCAGTTGCGCCGTGCCATGTAGAGGTTCCGCCATGCCTGAAGGTCGTTCTGGTCTTTGAGGGTAGCTGGGGGGCTACCGGGTTGGAATGGTTCAGGAGGATGTATTTCCGGAAATTCGACATCGCCTGGTTCACTGACGTATTGTCGGTCATATACAAAGATCTCGTTCTGCGATGGTTGCCTAAGAGTTAGCATATTTCCACGTCATGATTGATATCGATCATATTGCACCTCGGTGGCGAGCGTTTGAATCTTGACATTCTTTCCCCGGGCGGTCATCAATATTTGCCGTGGAGGTGGAATGGATGTATTGCGGACGATCCATGACTTCAAGGCATCGGGACTAGAGACAATGGACCGGTGTCAGCTGAAGTTTGGATAGGTCTATTCAAGCATAGATAAAAAGATAATATGTATCATCAAATAGAGATATGGAGACATACGAGGCGAATGCCACTGGATCGGCCAGGAAATGCTCCCCCGTGTGAGCAATGTAGATGTGCAACGACATACCCCCTCCACACCAGATGAGCTTAGATGCTCAGTAAGAGAGAAAAGTGAGGAATTTTTCCCAAAGAAGAAGATACATGTAAGAAAAAAGAGAAAATAACGAGAGTCCCAAGGCCCTCAGTCAGGCTGGTCAGGACGTTGAAGGTTGCTCCGCAACCTCGTGTGGCCGGGGAAGCTCGCCCACCGCCTCCGGTCTTATCTTCATATCACCAGATGCGCCCGCATTCACGAGATCTACGGCCATGGCTGCAAAAAATGACCTGTCATTGCCTCACCTGCAAACTGGTGAGGTGACACTACTCGATTACTCTGCAGATGACTCTCGCGATGTCGTGACTTTGTCAGATAAAGAGGCGTTGGTGCTACAGCTCTACAACCAGGTCCAGGAACAACAGCTAGAAAAGGCATTTCTCGAGCAAAGTATGTTTGATAGAAACTTTGCTGTACTTTTTCTTTAACATTTGCTTTTTTTTAATTTGTGTTCTAATCGCTTTCATCTTATTAGAACTGGAATCATGTTCGGGCGCAGATCCTGAAGAACAGCTCGCAATCGCGGAACGTGAGCTCCTCGAGGCAAGGTCTACTTACACAGTCAGGAGGAAAGCCATTCGCACCATCCTCATGACTGAGCCTATTCTCAAAGCCGTTCACCTGAAGGCTGCCACCCCTGCTGAGAGGTACGTACTCACGAGAAACCCTTTAGCTAGACCCGAGGCTGACAGAAACATATACAGAGCTCTTCTTTCTTTAGTGAATCGTCGCGATGTGCTTGCACTTGTTCATGAGAATCTTGCGTCAGCACACGACCTGGTGATGAGGCAGCTCTCAAACCTGGAGATACAGAATCTTCAGATCAATCGCGAAAACCAGGAGCTGGTGCGCCAGCTACTGGAGCTCACAAAAGAAGATTCGTCATGGCGAGAGAAACTTGAAGACCCCGAGCTGTTATCACAACTGGACAGTTTTGAAACGGATTTAAAGGCACGTAAAGCTCAGTGGGAGACTATGAAGTCCATCGCAAGTGCCGTGGTTGTCGGTAGTGGACTAAATTGGGCCGATGACGACATGTTGCGCGCGTTGGTGCTGGATGAAAGTGATGACTGATGTTTTTGTTTTGTGGACGCGTCCCGTTTTTTTTACCAGTTCTCTTAGGAGCACAGGCGCTGTACAATGATACCCAGGTCTTCGGTATATTCGATTTTTATTCCTCAGGGAAAAAAAAGAGGATGGTAATTTTAAACCGAATAATGTGGACTGAATAAGAATTATGTATTACTCCTTACACTGGGGACAAGTACTGCAATAATGACGGCTATACACAGCGGTGTAGCCCGTACAATATAGTAACCCGTACGCAGTACTCCGTAGAAGTAAGGGCTCTAGGTATACTCGGATAAATGCATAAGTTCTGATTTGAGATTAGAAATCGAAATTATCACACAGAGGCGAACTCTATGTTTTCCTGTCGGAAGGCGTGGAACTGTATGGAGTGCCCTAATTTACAGGTGGATTATACACTGCCACACTGCAGTACTGCAGTATTGTTGTATCAATGGTGTCTGTAAAATAAAAAAAAGAGACTTGAGGGAACACCGGAACGTGGTCTATGCGTTTTTTATGGATTGGATTTGATAACTTCGAATCTCTACGATGTAAGGATTTTTGCTCTTGATCTGTAAACTCTTGGTATGTGCCTAACTCCATACATATTTGCAAGATAAATAAGCAATTTGAACAACTTCAGACGGTAGGAGTACATTAGATAGAATATGCCTGCTACGGTCTATTCGTATTATTAGAGATGATATCTATTCTGGATTTAGCTTGTGATGATGGTGTGATCCAGCTCTGTAAGGAAGGTGTCTAAGATCATCTATTCAAAGCTATTCCAATCCCCATACGGTTTGGGCGTGAATATATAGTAGGGCCAAGAAAACAGTAATATCTATGCCATAATTGTTCATGCTTCTCACTCTAAATGATCTCTATCAACCAATGTCAATACTTCTCTACATGTATGTTCCTAGGTACCTGCCCAGCCCTGTTTCCAATTGGGGTTACGCTAAAAGGGTACGCCACGCTTATGATTGAGCAACCATCCGCCCTTGCCTAAAGATGATAGTTCAATACTAACACTGTTATATACACCTGTAGTCACGGCCGAATTAGGGTTTGCATTATTACACAGAATTCTCGACCAAATGATAATGTCAACAGTTTTGACCCCGAGAGCTTAAGTAGACCTTGTTTTCTGATTTCCTATTTTCTAGAGGGAATAATGCTACCAATGATAGTGAATTGGGACCTGTTTCAATGTTTTCTTCAAAAGGTACACCCCGTACAAGTTTAATATGTACCTACGCATGACCTTGCTGCTCGCGACCAAAGCCATTAGACGCTATGCCATTTAGAAGCAAGTCCCTAATAATTATTGCTGTGTGTACAAAGAATCCTGATCCAAAATTGAATACGTTATGAAATGCTTTATTATTTCTACCTCCTTCCGCATGTCTCTTAGAGGTGTGTTTTGTTCGGAATTTTACGACAATACATCGTAGCCTACTTGCTACAACCGTGGACTAAAACAGTATCGTTGCCTGCCACATTATTCAACAGTGAAATATCGCCGATATTTACATAGTACGGATACAGACCATATCAAATTCGATGGCAAACACCATGGTAATTGGAGGTACGAGGTACTTGCCGAGCAGATACTTTTACTATGGGGTTACCGCGTACTGTGTACCTGTACGTTTGCGCGGTTTAATAATATGACGGAGCGCAATCCACAAAGAGTCTCCCAGATGCCGGAATGATGGTCTCATTTCAAGACGTATTAAATTCTCTTAACTACAATTGTAAATATTTTGCTTTGAAAAAAGCACGAATATACATTTATCTATCAATAAGAATGGACGAAATAGAATTTTTGAAAATTTGAGGAAATAAGACGTAAGTTTCAAGGAATTGGTCATTAATAGTATGGTGGACAATGTAAATTACAAGTAATATACAATTCGTACCGTTGCCATTCCCTTGCTCCCCCCTCTCTTTGCTACTACTACGGCCCTCCCCCCTCTACTCTTCTCTTCTCTTACTATCTTCCTACACTACCATCTCCCCCATACAAACTTGCTCCCATACAAAAAAAGGTACTGCATATCAACTCCGAGCTCTATAAATCAACACTTCTGAACCCCATTTCAACCACCACCACATTTTCCCCTTTTTTTTTCAGTTCTTTTAGTCCTCAGAATCCTTTCTTTTCATCTCATTCCTTGTCTTTTTTTTTCCCATTTGCGCCGACCTTGCGATCGCGCGCATCTCTATCTATGTTTTTTCGTCCACTTAACTAACTTGAATACTCTACAGTTTATTTTTTTCCACATAATCTAATTCGCGATCCTCGAATTCATGTAAGTTGATCCTATCCCTATCATCTCAAGCTCTGTTTTCCCTCGGTCGGAAGTGGTTGGTTGCGCGCAACGCGTCCAGCAAACACTCGCGTCCACCCTTTTCCCTTCTCACCTCTCATCTGCACCCCGATTTCTTTGTAATTCTATATCAATTGCACGTGCAAACCTTGACTTAACCCCATTGCATATCTCGTTTCTCCCATATTACATGTGTTGTGGCAAAAATCCCCAGAAATCACTTCTAACATTTCATCAGTCATCATGCCTAAAGTTGAATCCACCACCAAGTCTACCCGCAAGGCCCCCGAGAAGCGCGTTCAGCGCCGCAAGAAGGGTAAGTCGACAGCCAAATCCTTGTTACCAGTTTATACTAATTTACATATTAGACCCCAACGCTCCCAAGCGTGGTCTGTCCGCTTACATGTTCTTCGCCAATGACAACCGCGACAAGGTTCGCGAGGAGAACCCCGGCATCAGCTTCGGTCAGTCAATTGATTTCCAAGCTTCGTTGTACATGATCTAACAATCCCACAGGTCAGGTTGGCAAGCAGCTCGGTGACAAGTGGAAGGCTCTGAGCGAGACCGACCGCAAGCCCTATGATGAGAAGGCTGCCGCTGACAAGAAGCGCTACGAAGAGGAGAAGGCCGCCTACCTCGCCAAGGCTGAGGAGGAGGAAGAGGATGAATCCTCTTAAATTGCCCTCTAGCTTCACTTCGTCTTTTGCCTCTGGGCGTTTGTGTTTCTCTAATGGTTTCTCCTGCTTTTTTTTCGGACGGTTTCATGCACGGTTTCTGGGTTTGGAGGACGGGTGGGGTTTACTTGCTTCTGAACTGTTCCTCTTTGCTCTCAAGGTATTAAGTTATCAATGGGAAATCTCAACATTTTAACCAATTCTAAGTTTAAATGTAATAGTGTTGACAAGGGTATTTATAGGATGATTTAAGGCAAGATTAAGTCTGTTGTGTGAGGAATCATCTGTATTCTTCAGATTTGCCTCACTTAAGCTCTGAGTTTTGGGATGCCAAGCATCGGGGAAGCTTCGGAGCTCCCAGGAGCTTCTGAGCTTTTTTGCCCCGCAAAATCGAGCGGGGCTCACCGCCTGCGTCATTCACCGCCCAATAATCCGGGGTCGAAGCTTAACCTTGAGTTTGTGAGAATATTGCTTCACTACAACTCATCCCCTCTCTGCACTTCGCATCGGAAGTTCCAAATCCATATCAAGGCGAAAGTCAAACAAACATCAGAAAAAGTCACTGTGGTCGATCACAGGGTATTATCGCAGACTACGACGAATGATCCTACAGCTATCTGGAGCTCAAGTTTCTTGAAACCACCGACGCTAAATCCCATAGCCCTCGCTGTAGAGGTGCAAAGGTTTGGACGCTGGTCAGCTTCTTTTGGTGGCTGGAATTAGGGCTAGCGCGGGTGAAAATGCGCGGGTCACGCTTATGCAATATGGGTGGGGGTATGATGATGCGATATGCGACATGACACGGTGCGATGATACGCCGCTATGTGACGATACGTTACAGACACTATAATACGCAGAGTGATGATTCAAATACTAGGTGTTGCAATTGGGACTTACGATGAGACGGGAAAACAGCAGTGCGACAATACGATACGGGTTCACCGCAGCACCGAGCTTATGGGGGTGAATCGGCACATGGGGATCTTGAAATCACACACCGGCAAATTCAGGGTTTCAGCAATCCCTTTATACAAGCCGAGTGACTACATAATCATGATGCATCAAATCCGATACCTCGATGTTTGACTCAGTACAGCCGCTACATATATGCGCGAGCAGTCCCAACTTTTTGGCTATCAAGGCCTTGTTATGTTAGGGTGTCTTGTGCGACTATGATACACCGTCCGGCACAATTGTGTGAGTCTTGCAGTTACAGTGATTTCCTCATTACAGCGAGGAAATTATATACCAATTAACTCTATCAAATAGTGCCGATGAGCCCGGCGCAATTAGAAAAATACAATATTCGCAGGCCGGTGTAGATTGTATGCCACTACTCATGAACTTCATTCAATATTCTATAGTTCTACAGCCTGTGCGGATCTTTTTTAGGACCCGACTTCGTTGCATAGCGTGGTTTCCATAGTGACAGTCTCGGCCCCGAATGGCCCCAATGGCGCCAATTAGCTCATTTGCGCGAGTCATGTTAAGACTGATGTTCTAGCCCCTTCTAAAGTCAAGCTTTGCATACATAGCCACTGATTTTTTCGCGTTGTTCTATGCTTGAGATATATAATACGTTACACGAATGCAATGCAACCCGGGTAGACGAGATTTGGTCGTATATCTCGTGGTCCGCAGCTGACTCGATCGGATTCCTAATTTCTTTAGGTAGAACTCAATAATAGAGAACTGATCGTGAGACAGGCCATCATATCCTAGTGTACACTAATATGACCGTGTATCTGTTCAGCGACACTAGACTTCATGTTGTGGGGTATAGAAGGACCGAAAAGGAGCCGATTTAGTCAGACGCTACGAAGTCAAGGCAAACCAATCAGCGTAGTATTTGCTTTTCAGTACTCGTGGATACTCGACTATATAAAATTAGTATGTAACGTGTCCCTCCCTCTAGATGGGGTTTCTCCCGAATGTCATGTAATATATATAGTTCTTACTGTCATGGAATCGACTGAATCCAGGAACCAAGAGTTTATCCTGTACACCGTCTGTAGGTAACATCTCGTGTATCCCCTCACCCTTGATGTTCCCTATGATTGGTCTGAGTGAGGGGGGCTATGAGACTGATGAGATCCCCACAATTAGGGCTGGGAAATACCTTGTGAACCATGGAATCTGAGTCAATCTTATATAACCTTATAAGATCTAAGATTATTTACTTTATTCTCTACAACATATATCCTCAGGTCTATTATTTAAGAAGCAGAACGGACATGCCGGGAGACTCCACCATGCCCCGCCATTTGCGCGTGGACACGTCAGGTCTTGGACGCAAGGGAGAACCCTGTCAAGAGCCTCATGGGGGGTTATTTTTTCTCTCTTTTTCTTTCTTTTTTCTTCTTTTTTTCTTCCTTTTTTTTCTCTCTCTTTATATTTGTTAATCTTAATTCTCTGCATGTGAAAGCCTATTGGCTTCTTACTTCCTGATTATTCCTTGCCCCTCCCCACCATAACTTCCCCCTCGCAAAGAAAAACTCCCCCCTTATGGCCTAACTCTGTGGACTATAAGATGTCATCACAGGCTCTGCGCGCATCTCGTGAGAGCGCTGACGATGTAGCGGCTGGCTTTTATGCATTCCGCACTCCTCTTCCAGAGGACGTAGGCGAGATCACATCGCTCATGTCCGAGTTATACGCAATCAGCGCATTGTTGTCTAGCTTGGAACGTGTAGCTGATGATCCCCGGCATCGCCGTTGTTTCAATATGATCAAGCCCGATTTGCATGCGGTGTTAGCCAGTTACACCTATACAATCGAGGACATCGGCGATATTTTCAGAGATCTCGATGGCCCAGATGCTAGTCCAGCGACATACAAGCGCACATGGCTACGAATGGGCCGGTTCTTTTGGGATCAGTCGAGATATACCCTGGCAACCCGCATATCCAAGTATAAGATGGTCTTTAAAGAGTTCAACGACTTGGTAAAAGAGTAGGTATTCCGCAAAAAAGCCGAGTAGAAAAAGCGCATGTGTGTGTACTTATCTGTGGTCTTTATTAGTGGCCAATACACTTCCCCGTTCCTTGCGGGCCTCGTCAATGGTTTCAAGACCCTGCTCACAGCACAGGATAGCCGGTTTGCTGCTCGCTTTGAAGGCATGACACTCCGCCCAAATGATTCACCTATCGATAACCGCGTGACTCCCCGTCCCCCTCCACGTGCTCCTACCCCGGTGAGGGATCATCCCGTAAGAGAACGCCCAGCGAGGGACTATCCAGCGAGAGCCAACCCGGTGAGGGACCATCCAGCCAGAGACCATCCAGCAAGGGACCATCCGGTGAGAGATTATCCAGTTAGAGACCACCCGTTGAGAGACCGCCCGGTAAGGAACAACCCGGCGGCTGACCGGAATGCACGGCGGCGGAGATCATACGAGCGCACTCGACCACCGCATCTGTCTCCACCGATGTCACCTTCTTCCGGCACTTCTTCGGATTTTCCCCCGTCTGTACCGGATGTTCCTACATCGCCGCATACTTCTACTACTAGCCGCTCGACTGCCCCTGACGTTATCAAAGAACATTGGGTGAAGGAAACATTCGGGTCTACTGGCACCAGCACTCCTCTACCATCTGTGAGAGAAAAGTGAGATATAGACGTCTTGGCTTGCTTTCCGGCTTTTGTTAACATATTCGGCAATAGGTCATGCTGCTGCGCAGACCCTCAGGCCGGCGTTAAACAATGGATTAAAGAGGAGGGCTTCGAGGAGCTCCTTCAATTGTAAGTCGAGGATACTGACTCCTTTGTGCATATTTCTGACACAGTATAGATCTCTGAATGATGAGTCTGATATGCGCGTATCCTTCTACCTAAGGAGAAGAGACCACCGAGTGCGCATCCTTTGCAGGGAGCCACACCGGACGAGGCCTAGTGACTATTACTGCTTGCCGCTTAATCTACTCGAGGTTTTGCGAGATGGGTCTTGCCTCCGACTGTGCAGGCGACGGAAGCGTGGTACAGAGCTTATTTTATGGACGCAATTGAAGTTCACCACATTGGAAGGTCAGCAATTCCCGCGTTCGCCCTTGCTATTGAAATCACAATGCTTACAGCTATCTCACAGATCTGGTGCTATTCCATAACACATTCCTTGCCTTGCGCTCCCAGGATGCAGGCACCCCCATTGGAGAGATTTTAGACCACGAGCTGGAACACGAAGAGGAAGTCTTTGGGGGGTGAGTAATTTTTACTGAAGGGAATCAAGTGCAGAGAGGCTGATATATTCTAGTACAATCCACGATGATGAGTACATCCACGCGCTGCGCGTATACAGAGACTCTGAGACTGGAGGTGTAAGACTCCAGGCGTCAGTCTACCTAGGCGAGATGAACCAGTATGTCAACCTCGATTGTACAATTTGAACTATTCAATGCTAATGCAAAAACAGCACTCCCGTCTGGACTGCTTTCGTCACCCACAACCTCGGGAAACGCAGTTGGCTTAAGTCATATGATTCCAGGACTGTGATTGTGCGTGATATCAAACCCGTGATATTTATGTCTATGGATGATTATACACCCCCGCAGACACCACAGGGACATCATGTCCTAGAGTTCACAAGCTCTTCTGGTAAGTTGGATGTGAAGGAGCCCATACTTGAGTATCGTTCACTGACTGGACTTGATGTAGATGCCAGTTCGTTCCTGGATATCATGGATGAACTGGGCGATTGAGCTGTGGTGGGGACTGTGGTTGGACTTGCGAGTTTATAATTGGAATCTCGGTTCTAACATGATGATTTATGAGTTATGTTGATATGACTGCGATGATTCAAGATTTCAAAAGTCGAGGAATCCTTGCTAGTAGTTCTGAATGTTAGTTGAGGCCCTCTTTAGTCCCATTGTCCTCGCCGTCGTGCTAGCACTTTCGAGGCCTGACTCCCACTAAACGGCCCGCGGATTTCTTCATGCATCATCAAACAATTCAATTACTAGAGAATCACCCGGTTTCAGGTACGGCAGGCTTTTAAGTTCTTTGTTATCAAAGCAACCCTACCACTGGCTACATATGCTCTACAATGAGCGTGACATGTCAAGCTAAAGCACCCTACCCTTCTGAGGTCCTCAAAACCGTTGAAATAGACCAACATAGAGTAGGTCCAATTAAATATATTTTTTGGAAATGAAAAGGCAAGCCAACTAAGAAGGGGTATCACACACACAAAAACAAAAGAGAAAAATGCAGAAAGCAGAAAGCACATTGTCAACCAAAGCGCGGGAAAATGAGATCAAAAGATGACGCGGTATTGCTTCGCCCCACGAAACATCATGGATGAAACCTAGGAAGTGTCCTTTTCCTTATCCTTTTCAGAGTCAGGGATATCGTCTGGTTCGGGATATACCATGACCATGTACCGTCGCCATAGCGGGCATGTTGAATCAAACGGTGTCTCGTCTGAATCAAACAACTGTATTTGTGGTGGTTTAGGCGGAGGCGCGGTTTCTGGCTTAGGTGGGTTGCGTTCGGCTTCGAGGTCCTCTAGGCGCCATTTCTCTAGCTTCTCCTTACGGAGTCTCTCGATTTCTTTGCGCCGCCATTCTAAATGAGCGTTGCGCTCAGCCATCCGTTCTTCGTCCGATTTCCGCTTGAATAAAGTCTCTTCTCGCAAAATTCGGAGATCTTCCATTTGCTTCTTGCGCTCCTCCTCATCGGTGGAAAAGTGATAGAATCCAGTCCCACGGTTGCGAACTTCTGCTTCTGCATCGTAATGCTTACTCTCTGGTGGTGTAGGCGAGCGGTCACGACGAGCAGCGAGATGGGACATGTGCGACGCAATGTTGGCATCGGGATTGAAAGCTTCAGTCTGAACGGTCTCTCCGTATATCAAATTATCAGGACGAGCAGGGCGCCAGCGTTCCTGGGCAGCTTTGCCACCTGCTTCTTCTTCCTTGGCGCGAGCAGCTTCGGCAGCTTCGGCGCGAGTGCCACGGCGAGAACGGCCAAATTCGTCTTCGTAGGAAACAATAGATGCATTGTCATCATCAGACTCATCTTGTTTGAACGTTTCCTCGTTTGCGTGCTTGAGATCGAAATCAACTAGTACATCTTTCTCCTTGCGTCGTAGTCGGGCCAGATAGGCGTTCGGGTCAGATGGATCAATTGGCATGTCATCATCATCACTATCACCGGCAAGATGCAATCCCTTCTTCATATCATCGTAAAGGCGCGCTTTTTCCTGCATGCGGCGTCGAGACCGGCTTAGCGTGTTGGCATCTATAGAGCCAATGTCCTGGGTGCTTCTGTGGACCTGCTTGACGGCCCTGTTGTCATCTGCAAGATCGGCAGCTGCGCGTTTCTTGGTGCCTTTGTTCTGCTTTGAGAAGATATCCGACTTCGGATTCTTGGAGGGACGGTGGCGTCCACGCGACGAGCCGGAGGTTGCATCTTGGGCGATGAGTGAAGAGAGCTGAGAGGTGAAGGCGAGGCTTGAGGTGGTTTGTTCAGTTTTGTTCTTTTTCAAACGGGGCTGTCCATAGAGGGAGTCCTGGTCAGCAGGCATTATGCCGTGAAGAGTATGTATAGTGTAATGTCAAAAAGGAAGATGCAGGTTTCACGGAAGTTCTACGTTCTACAATGCCACTGGCTTATCGATAAGCCCGATGGCCAATTTACACCGCCAAACTGCCAAACTTTTGGAGGTCTTTTTTTGCCGATTCTGGATGACTAAGGCCGATGTTCGGGGCAGCCCCGCGCCCCCACTACTCAGGTGAATCGATCGCGCCGTGACTCAATTGACTGTTCTTTTAGTTTTGATCTGATATTGAACTCTTTGTTGAGAATCAGAACGCAAATTTAATTGAAATAATCAAGAAAAATCATCAGACCTGCATCATGTCGGCTAGCCCTATCTACCTCGGTGTCATTGGTAAGTGTTCCTCACTAGTGAGCTTTAAAAGTCCGAATCAATTGAGTACTAATGATTTGACGAACTAGGCGTCGGAGGCGTTGGTACTGCCTTCCTCCAGCAGCTCGCCCGTCTCCCCAATGCGCCCCAGCTTGTCGTCCTTGCCCGTTCCTCCCAGACCCTCCTTGCTCCGACTCCCGCCTATTCGCCAGCTATCCCCGCCGCTGACTGGGCCACAGCTTCTGCTGCACCATCTCTGAAGAAGACCGGTGCCCTGCAAGCCGAAGAAATTGCGACATATCTTGCCGCAGCCCCTGGACGGGCCATTTTGGTCGATAACACTTCTGACATTAGCCTCGCCCGGCAATACCCCACATTCCTCAAGAAGGGTATCTCAGTGGTGACACCCAACAAGAAGGGATTCTCCGATGACCTGTCCCTGTGGAAGGATATCTTTGCCTCTGCAGCTGAGGGCAAGGCCCTCGTGTATCACGAGAGTACCGTTGGCGCTGGTCTGCCCGTGTTGTCGACCTTGAAGGACCTTGTGGCTACCGGTGACGAGGTCACTCGCATTGAGGGTGTGTTCTCTGGCACTCTTTCCTTCCTCTTCAACACCTTCGCCCCCGCATCAGGCGCTTCCGATGCTCAGTGGAGCGCCGTCGTCGCCCAGGCTAAGGAGCTGGGCTACACCGAGCCGGATCCTCGTGATGACCTGAACGGCATGGATGTCGCCCGCAAGCTGACCATCCTGGCCCGTATTGCTGGTCTGGAGGTTTCCCGCCCCGACTCTTTCCCTATCGAGTCACTGATCCCCGCTGAGCTTGAGTCTCTGCCTTCATCCGCGGAGGGTATTACTCAGTTCATGACCCGTCTCCCTGAGTTCGATGCCCAGATGGCCAACATCAAGGAAACTGCTGAGAAGCAGGGCAAGGTTGTGCGCTACGTTGGTAGTATTGATGTTGCTGCCAAGGCTGTCAAGGTTGGCCTGCAGTACTTCGATAAGGACAGCGCTATCGCTGGTCTGAAGGGCAGTGACAACATCATCAGCTTCTACACCAAGCGCTACGGTGCCAACCCCTTGATTGTCCAGGGTGCCGGCGCCGGTGGTGATGTTACCGCCATGGGTGTTTCGGCCGATCTTATCAAGGTTGTCGAGCGCCTGCGCTAACTTGCTAATCCTTGGAGGAATAAAAATATAGAACCCAAAATTTGAAATGCATATAAAGCAACACCCTCCCTTAGATCCAAGCTGTGTGTCATATCTATATAATTCATGGGTCTTACACAGAACCCCAGCATATAAAGAAGCCTAGGCCCTTAGGAAGTCCTTCAATGCTTCTCCCCACACATCTCCCTTCTTATAAGTATGAATTTCTGGCACATTCCCTCTCTTCAAGCCATCAATCGCATTCGCAAGGTCCTCACCCGAACCCTCATCCTTAATCTGCCTAACTGGATAAACATAAGTGTGGACGAAAAAGACAAGAGCCTTAGACACCGGCAGCCGATGCAGTGTCTGACGCTCACATCGCAGAACCGTCTTAGCTGTATCAGCGATAATCCGTCAACTAAGCTTCCTAGCAGCCAACATACCTGATCAATATTCAATTTCCCAACTTCAATAGCATCCTCCTTTACTCCCGACACAGCATGTGTTCCACCAAAAGCAGCAAACAGGCCTGTATCAATAGTAATACTCCAGTTGAACCGTTTCACAAACTTCCCAACCTCGATACGTGCAAAGAACTTATCCATGCTGCGCCCAATTCTCTCCTGATACCGCGGGACGGGGCCATGAATGTCCGCCAAACGCAACCCCAGTTTCTCGCGCGTGTTAAAGCCAGCCGGGAAACAGGTCGCATATGCCTGCAGTACATATCTCGGTTGTTCCTCGGTATCGGGTGAGAGATCAGGTAGCAGGATCAGGAAATCCTCGTCTACTGTCTGGGCTAGGATTTCCAGGGCTTTGGTAGTTGGCGTTGTTGGAGACAGTCTTGTTGGCCAGGTTGCGCCTGTTACCAGATTTTGGAAGAGCGAGCTCTCAGCGCTTAGACGGAACATGCTCGGATATCGGGTTGGTAAGTATGTTTCCAGCACAAAATTATATAGTTCGCTAATGGCGGGGCGGATGCGAGGGTCCTCCTTTGGGGTTTGATCATTATTGATTGCCACCACGATGTCGTGGTGCTGGTCGAGTACGGACTTGCGTTGAGCGAGTCGGCTTTTGTATGTTTTGTCCATCGGGATGAGCTCTGATGGATCGAGGTTCTCAAGTGCTAAGACGCGTTAGTTTGGAAGTATCAAGTGTTGTAATATAACATATTCGTTTAAGACTGGGCGAGTAACTCACCCATAGTCAGGTTATATTTGTCTTTTCCTTGAAAAGGCCGGAGTTGTAACGGCTCAGTCTCTTCCCAGTTGAATTTCTCTAAAGGTGTGATAGATAATCCCTTATTGTCCAAGCAAGTTGTCTTATACCTCTCGTATGCAGTAGCCTTGTGAAATTGTCGAATCTTCCACATGACACCAAACAATCCCACAAAAATAACACAGAGTAGATGTCTGGAAAATATGGGCCATGGTGCACCGATCTCTAGTTTGTATAGAGCTTCTTCCATGGTCATGACTTTAGAGATCTGAGTAGTTATAGTTCGTATAATCCTTGCTCGGCGGGGAGTTTTATGTTCTAAACGACTAGTTACTCCGCATGAACTCCTCACTAGAAAGCGAATCGATCGTGGAGACTTGTCTTGGAGCTTATCTCTCTCCAATTTGACTGGCGGAAGTGCCCGTTCATGTTTTCTGATTGACTCACCAGGCCGAGATGACTTGCGGGGTTCAAGATAAGACAGTTGGGGTATTAGATTGGATATTCACGTAGGATCGACTTCGTATAATAGATTATAACCTGCAAATATCGTACAACCTTCGTAGTATAAGTCTTGTACATGATGTACTTAAATCTGCTCACATGCAAGACTCACAGTGTTGCACAACGCCGAGTATCGAGGGCAATGACCTCGGAAAAGAAATGCATGCTTGCTCATATAGTCAAAATGACAGAAACCACTGGAAGATAAAAACAATAAAACAAGATCATAAACATCATCACTTCCCACGAGAAAGGGGATCCGATCATCATATCTGCCCCAAGCTCCTTTGTTTCAGGCCATCTCCACTCAAATGTGGATTCAATGCTTGGACAACAGGGCTCACGTACTCCTTACGAGTCTCCCTTTCCGACCCCGTGGAGTCGTCGCGATCTTGCCCCTCGCTATCGCCGGTATCTGTCTCCACGCCGCGCAGTCCAAAGGCCCTCCGTCGCCCGCCCGGACGTTCATTCAAGCTCGGCGCGCGAGGGCGCTGTCGACCACGTGCTCTTCCACCTATATAAGGGACCTCCCAGAGGATCAGTCGGTATACATAGATGGTTGCGTCGAGAAGTACGAGGAAAGCCCAGGGACCAATTGTGATGAGACCGAGGAAGAACTGCGGAATCCGGGGTAGATTAGCGACTGCGTCATAGCACAGGGGCTCGGGGCTCAGTTCGGAGAGAAAGAGGGAAACACACGAAGATACGAGCTACCCAGCTCTCAAGGTGAGTGAGCTCTGATGGAAGGATAGAGTACCACGCCATTTTGGTGTGGATTTGGAGTGCTCGTGTGCCTCGGGAGGTTACGGCTGCTGGTGGGTTGGAGCTGTGTCAGTGCTTTGGCGCGCTGCGACTAGGTCCACCACTGCTGACAGCTCCCTTTTCACGGTTGCTTCATTTTTCGGCGTCAGTTGAGCATTTTATAGATCCTCGGTTAGCGAATGAAATATAGAGAATCGAATTGTACTGGCTCTACTTGAGTTCCTCGATTAAGGTACTTCTATCTGATTGGCTGGACCTCGGACACTCACGTGAGGCTTGTGGCCCGACATATAAGGTGTCTATCCACATCGTCAAGTTCAATTCTGGACGTCTTGCACTCTTCTTTTCGGAGAATATGTCAACACAAGTTGGATTGACTCTCTAAATGAAAATATAAGTTGAATAGATAGGAAGCCTAACTGACACGGTATCGGGGCAGATGCTCTGTCCCAGCAGTTCCCTCTACTCCATCTCGGATGCATCAACCCAGTTGCTGTGCAAACCTTGCTTCAATCGAAGCCCAATTTTTACCACAGCTGCTACCGGCTTGGAAAAACCTTTTGTGTCAATTACCACCAGCTCCGTCAACATGATGTCCAGACGATTCACTAGGCCAACCAAGAAGCCATATCCTTCCGGCGCATCTGCTGATCTTGGAGCAAAGCAGGGTTCTTGAACTAAAGGATTTGCTCCAAAGAAACAGTGCTCTACTCTTCCGAGGGATAGATACACCCTCGTATAAGCATTCAAGCTCGCAGCACCCAGCAAGTTCTTTAGGTTCAGCTCACTTACTTGAGTAGCACAGAAGATGAACTTTTGTTTTTGACTCGTAGATCGATCATCTATGCGTGGGAACTCGTAAGGGAGGTCCATGAGCACTTCGCGATCAGACAGTCGCTGGTACGACATTCCATCCGTAGGCGCTTCAGCTTTCAGGTCAAGCAAACCGCACCAGCTGAATCTTGATGTCATTGATTGCTGGAGAACTGTCCTTCCGATTTTCCTCAGGGAAGAAAGGCAACACGTTCCCATATGCAAGTACAGTCTCGACGAAGACCTTTTCCACCTCTCCATCCGGCCCAACTTCCTGGTAGGCGTTCGCCGTATGCGCTGGGAAACTGTTTTTCCAAGTAAACCATCTGACCTTTCGAGGCATCGGAGCCCCGTCGAGGTACTAGACCCCAGTGAAGATCCAGATCATGGTCGTAGGTATAGTGCGACCCATCTTTTTTCATTTCCTCGATGTCGACAGGCATCGGGACGAGCATCAAAGCGACGTAGTCTTCGGACACTCCGGCGTCGTGCAGAAAACCGCAGAAGGGATTCTTGAACCAGCACTCCTCAGTCTTCTTGCCGTCTGAGTCAAGGGCAAAGTGACAGCAATCCTTTGTGCCAGGTCCCTTGGTCTGCGTGCCCCAGCATACAAGCTCTTTGCTCTTAAGGTCGACTTTCGGATGAGCTGTGAATGATCTAGAGGGGATTTGGCCGGCGGGAAGAGAAGCAGTTGCCAGCTCACGTAGCCTGGTTAGAGGAGCAATATGAGTGCAAGGTCTATCTCATGTTTGCCCGCAAAATCCCGCTCACAGGTGGAGTATGCATTGCAGTCGCAGAATCGGCAGCTCAAATGGCTGAGATTACCGAAACCGACCCCTTGCGTACCATCAAAGTCGCGAAATACGACAATCAAGAGATTGATCTGACAAGAGTCAATACCCTTTCGCTGCTTGAATATGCGGCCCTCCGACGGTGAGGTCTTAGTCTTTTCTCATGGCGAGATGGCACATATGAAGAAGAGGAATAGGAAAGGGACGAAGTGGATTGAGCTGGATCTGTGGAATCTCTGAAGGGGAGGAAAGCATAAGAGGGGAGTTGCAACCTTCTTATTCACAGATTAGGAAAACAACGAGTTGTGCTTAGAGTATAATGATGAGACAAGAGTTTAAGAGAATGTATTTGGGTAACTAAGTACATTCATGGATGGCTACATACATCTGAGTGAAGAGGATAAGAGAAATCACAATAGTGAAAACCCCCCATGTATTCCGTGGGATCTGTCAGTGACTATTGAACTCTTGGAGTTCAGTCACCAACTTATCATGACTCGCACGAGAACTGGCAATTTGATTTGTATTCGGACCGTTTGCATAGCTGCCTTAGGCCTCCTCAATGGACACTTCTGCCTGCCAGATATAATTCTTTGACCATTGTTTCATTGCATTCATACCTAAGAATGTGTGCTAAAACTGTACACCTTCAAGGCCATGTAGCCCATGTGGAATCAAATCCACGTAAGTATACGTAGGATTAACATTCAATTTCAATAACCATCAAAAGCAGAGTACATCAACCCGTAGACACCTCAACGCCCACTCAGTTCTTCACTTCCTTTGCATTAGGATATAGCTCTTGGTGATCAGCTCTCTATGTTCAGGGCAAAGGATTCATGATGTTTGTACTTAGTATCCTCCACTCTATAGCTTTCATATCACTGATCACTATTAAGTCTAATTTATTGTAAGATCTGTAAGGTTCTTAGATTGACCAACGTTTCCACTCAGTGAATATATACATGGCCAGCCCATTCAAGATAACCACCCGTGTATCAAGGCAATACACCCCAGCTAAACACTTGCAAGCCGGGTTCATGTGTCACCATATTCAGAGCGAAGATTCCCAGTAAGTGATCCGAATATGGGAAATCTTCTCCCCAACCGCCGTATTCGCGGCCAAAAAGCGGTACCGCGCCTTCTCGCCCTTCCTGAAAGGGTAGAAAAAGTGTAGTGGCACATCCTCATCACTGACAAATACGCCGTCAAGCTCGGCCAGCACAGTTTCCCCAATATGTGCCCAGGAACGGATTTGCAACTCCTCGTTGTTTCCATTGTGGGCCTGTTCTAACATTTGATGACCTGTTCGTGTCCCTGTACCTTGTTTGTACCGTCTTCGAGAAGAACGTCATCAGTGAAGAAACGAAGAGCCGTTTGTCGCTCGTTGTGCGCGATGCTGTATGACGCGATGTAGGCTGGGTAGTCCATTTTTATTCGGATTAGACTAGTAATTGCGTGTATCGAGAGTAGTATGCGCTGTTCCATTCTTCGAGTTAGTATTCTCCTATAATCTAAGTAACGTCTGTAGTCGTTCGACAGGTACTATCATTGACTTTTGGGCCACGAAAGCTTCGTGTCCAGCACGGTATAATCGATTGCCTTCGGTCCCGTTATACACATAAAAGGCACCGACCGCATATATTGCAAACTGCAGCGGCTCCGAGCGCTGATGCGTAAGGTAAGTTGGGAAATGGAGCAGTGGTATATGTCTCTGAAAGGAACCGAAAAGTGCTCGAATATACCACTGAGCGGCCAGTTCGATGGGGCATCTGATTCCTGTAAGCTGGTGACTATGGCAGACACTCATTGTATCCAACTGACGTGATTGCTCATGTCTTGACTTGTGTTTCTTCCTTGTGAAGCGAGCCTTGCACCAAGAGCAGGGCAAAGGCTTGTCCGTGGAATACATGCTTGAGTAAAAGGCCAGTTAGCATGATGTTTATTCTCACGTATTCTCTCTTGAAGGTTGACAGATCTACCGTTGTCGGGAACTTAGTTAAGCCGCAGTTTTCGCCCGGCCCCGGGGGCGGCCCCGGGGTTAAGCTTTACGGGACCTCCGAAGTGTCGTAGCTGAGGGCTTAGGGGCTAACATTGGCATGTTACGAGTACAAGCCCTTAGCCTTGCTCATTACCCAATGGGGAACTGTTCTGAAAGAGGAAAATAAGCCGCACTATGGGAAATCGCGGGATCTAATGAACCAGTTAACACCAAAGCATACTAGCCTTTTAGACTATTATTGTTAGTGGGATATAGTAAGTAGGCAGTGCTTGACATTACCAAAACGCACGAAGTAAAATTATTTCACCATTTTGAATATCCAATCCAACAATGAGAATCCTAATGATCCACGGTAATCGACACCAAAATACCACAGTTACAACATAAAATCTAACCACTCCAGGATCCCGCCAATCGGGCGAACTCTTCCGCGCAAAACTGCAAGCCTTAGAAAAACTAATCCGCCGAACCCTCCCTGTCCACGAAGTTGAACTCGTATACCCAACAGCACCCTTCCAACTAGAGCCCGAGCCCTCCAATGGTAGCACATCCGACCTACGCAATCGGCACGGCGCATGGAACTGGTTCGAATCCGAATCCATCGACGGTGTTTATCCCGGCCTAGAACGCGGCTTGGAGTGTATTGGGTCTATTCTTAGAGATTCCGGGCCGTTCGATGGGATCGTCGGGTTTAGTCAGGGGGCTGCTGCGGGCGCTATGGTCGCCTCGCTTCTGGAAGGAGATCGGAAAGATGCATTTACCCGGTTAGAGGCGGAAGGTGGGATCCCGTATCCTGCTTGCTTTGATACACTTGAACACCCGCCGCTTAAGTTTGTGGTTAGCATTTCGGGGTATGGGGCTCCGGATCTGGCTTATCGTGCCTTCTATGATCCTGTTATTCGGACGCCAGTGATGCATTTTTTGGGGAGTATGGATACTGTTGTTGATGAGAGTGCGTCGATGAGGTTGGTAGATAGTTGTCAGGATGGGAAGAGTCGGGTTATTTGGCATTCGGGTGGACATGTGGTGCCAAGTGGAAAGAGGGAACTCGCAGCAGGTGCGCTTTTCATTAAATCTAGCATAGGCTGAGAACGGAAGACATCATGATTAAATTGAGTCCATAGAGTTGATAGAAGGGTCTACGAGATCCACTGGATATTGAACAGCACTAGCTGCGTGGGTTCTTAGAGATGCTGGATTGATATTATGACATGTAAATTGTCCACATCATTTGTATGGTAAAATTCCAAAATATGCCCTTGAGCAGACAAAAAGTTTTAAATCGTGACCTTCGTGTTTAGAAATGATGCTGAGTCCCCCAAGATATGTTGCTCGCCAAGTTAGATTACAAAAAGATATACAAATGCAAATGATCGGCCCAGGCCTGATATGGACAAATCAAAGCTCACCGAGGTGGGCGGTAAGCGTCGTAAGATGTGTATGCGGGCTCGTCGTCCTGGCCGACAGGCCCATAACCACGGGTGCGCCAGCGATCGAGTGGATTCGCGATATCCGCCTGGCCGGGCGTCTGTGCGTGGGTGAGGAGTCTGGATTCAGCCTCGTCAATTGGGTAGCCACTGTCGCCGCGTGATAGCGGCACACGGAATGCCGGGTGAACCAATCCAGTCGGGTCGGGGGGTTCGTAACCGTTGTGCATGCTTAGCGGTGGCATTGATGGCAGGGAGGGTGCAGGTGATGAAGCACGAGATGAACCGGGAGACCATTCGCCTCTCAGGGTACTGCGGGGTGTGTGCGATCGCTCTGTCATCAGGTCCTCTGGCCGGCCGTAGATGCCGCCTCCGAACTCGTCGCGGAAGTCGGCTCGATCCTTGTAATACGAGAAGTCGAGATGGTTCTCTGGGACGACCTCGAATGGTGAAGGTTCGGCAGATTTGCCAGGTTGGGATGCAAGCATCGGGTTCATTGCGATGTCTGAGTACTCGCTGGTATCTCCCTGGTCCATACGACCCTGATAGATATCCTTCAGTGCTGCGGCTGCCTTGGCATGCACCATAGGTGTCAAAAGCGGTTTGTACAGGGCGGGGTGTCCGAACTTGGAGTTCAGACGGTCTGAGGCCTTCTTGTCAGATTTGCTCACGCCTAGGGCCTCGGCATCACTTAGGTTTGCGCGATTGTAGTATTCGCAATCCGAGTCAAACGTCTTCATGCAATAGAACTTGAACCCAAGCATCAGGAAAGGCAGTGGGACCACGCAGAACACCATCGTCCATGTGCCGCTCGACTTGGCAACGAGAGCGATGATCACATTGGCAAGAATAGTAGCGAAGATCAGGCGATTGAATAGAACTCGCCAAAACGCACCACCAGACTCATTCTTGGTTATAAACACGTACATCAATAGATACTTCTTCAACAAGGCATCCACGCCAAAGTACAAAGCCGTCACCGGCAGTACGATTGGCTGCAAGGTAGCGAAACAGAAAGCCACCGTAGCATAGAAGAGGAAGTAATTGTAGTAACTGGCGTAGTCGAATGGTGGTGGTGCGGTCCACTCAATTGCCTGTCGTGGTGTCGGCGAAAGGAACGTCTTGGCAAACCAGACCCAAATCATAGTAACGAGCTGCACGAGATCGATAGCAGCGCCAAGATTGCGCTGCAGAAGATACGTCACCCAAAACGGTGAGACCGTGCATAAAGCACTAACCAGCTTGGCATACATCCGGCTTTCCAAGATGGCTTGCCAAGCGTCTTCGTGGTTGTTGGTTTTGTCAATCACGAACGACACGAAATACCAAGCAGCCGAGAAGAGCGAAAAGACGATCAGGTTGTTGAAAACGAAGAACGCATACAGATGTCCCAGCACATGGCGCTCTCGAGATGTTTTAGTCTTACTGCCACCTTGAATAGAAAGCCGACGGAAGATGATCGGAAGCGCCAGATACACAAGTGAAGTCAGTGCAGGCGACGCAATACCCTGAACAGCAGCCCAAACGTGTGGATTCCCTGACAGCGAGGTCTGGAACGCCGGCCATACCAAGCCCAGATTTGACAAGTTGGACAAGAAAATAGCAATCAAGCCGTTAGGAACAATCCACACAAGTGTCAAGCATGTCACCCAGATAAAATTGACCAGTCGCTTCCACTTGCGTGCCGATTTTGAAAGTGGTAGATTTTCCCAGATGATATCGCTAGGCCGCGGCGCAAGATCAACAGTAATACCCTCAGGGTGCTTGCGGCGAGCGTTCCACGCTACAGCATGAGCGTGCTCGATATTGTCCCAGCTGGCAAAACCGTAGGGCATCGCATTTCGGCGGTCAATTGACGCCCGTCCGTGCTTGATCTCCTCTTCCAAAACGCGGATTCGGACGGTTAGATAATCGATCGCGTCCACTTTGCCGCTGCCAAGTTGATTGCGCTGTTTGCGAGGGGGGCGTAGAGTAGGTCGTTTCGCAGGCAATCGGTCCGGATTCTTGAGGTACTTGGCCAAAACAGACTCGAGTTGTCGGACAGCCTCTTCATGTTCTTTGATGATCCGGGGCAAATCCCTGACGTTACGTCCAATAGCAGCTCGCGGGAGGGCCGCGGTGGGATTGACCTGGTCGGTCAGCCGCAAGATACCTTCGTCGGCACGGCTATTGGGAGGGATATCGGTGATCATCAGGGTCCGAGCATGCAGACTGCGCTGATATTCGGAGCTTTGGAAATATTGCCTCCGCAGCTTGCGTACAACGCGATAGTTCCTCCATAAAAAGTAAACAACGATGAGATCAAAAGCCCAGGCGCATACGACTTGACTCCAGATAGCCGTTGGATTGTCGATATTAAGCGGCGTCATCATGTTGAAAGCGGAAGACGCTGAGTGGTCGGTAGTACTCCTGCTCTGTGTGATATTGACCGGTATCATGACGAGACAACCGATTATGCTAAGACAGATGAAGATATTGCGGCACATTTTTGTAAAGCGAAGGAAGAGTGCGGCATCCAGGCCGACTGTCTCGATCAGCTGTGGTTCCCGTGTATTGATGACTGGTTTGACCCAGGCGAAGATGCCTTTGCCCACCGGGGGCGGAGTGTGTTTGAGGTCTGCATGCTTGACTTTGGGCGCATAGACAAGCGAGTGACGGGGTCGAACAAGGGAAAAGACGAGTGCGAGGAGGATAGTGACACCGATCGAGGTGCCTAGCGAGGCCCAAATAGCAGTAACTGTAAACTGTAGCTTGTCAGCGTGATGTTTTCTCTTTTGAGCCAAAAACAAACTTACTGCAGAACGAAATGGATTCGCAATAAGCTCAAGGAAAGTATCCGCCCCATTCGTGCGGGCATGTAAGCTCAAGTGATGTATATCCATTACGTCAAAGCGAAAACAAGTGGCGATCCGGCATGAACGAGGGGCCGGAGGAAATCAAGAGCCTAGCATGAATGTGGGATGAGTGAATAGATTAAAACGAGGGGAAGTTTAAGATGGGGAATTAAAAAAAAAAAAAGAGATGGGAACCGAGCAAGAGGTGAGACATAAAGATAATGAAAGAAAAAAAAGGTGGACTCTGGTCTGGCCTAGTTTATTATTAGAATTTCATCATCGGGGTTATTGGTCTCTAGTGGAATTTAGCGTCGCTGATCACAAGCGTTAGGAAAAGTAAGCCCACAGCGAGCCACTTTTCTACAGTTGAAGTTCTCATACGGAGTATAGTCAATGTAGTTCCCACGGCTCTGGAGATCAGATTTCGTCGTGTCAACACAAACTGACGTGCCCTGTGGCGCTTGACACGTTTCGTTCCTTCTTTGACCCATCTATTGTCGCATCATTGGTAGTCCACCATCCTGTTTCAAGTGGTACACCAATCAGTTTCCCCAAGTGGAAATAGTCTGGAACATTGCAATTGTCAGGTCCAAGGTAGCACTGACACAAGACATGGATGCCATGTAGGTACCGTTTCTGTTCTTTTCAGGGCGTGTTTGAGGAGTTACAGTCTGTTGCCTTAAGTCTTGCCTAAGGCCACAATAGATGCCTTGTTTCTCAAATACATCCATATTCATCTTTCGATACCTAACTACTTCATATTAACTTATGGATAATTATCTCCTTTGATATTTGATCTGGCTTCAAGAAATTCTTCTCCTTTAGAGACCCTGTGAATGCCGTTTTACCCTTCACAGTAACAATAAAAATATCGGAGTTACTCCGGAGATAAAAATTCCCAGGGCTACAGCAGGGGCCCTTCGATAGCGCAAGTGACCGCCTACTCCGTAAAGCTCGGGGTTCTCCTAGTGCCAGGTTAAATATAGAAATGGCCGGGGTAATTTAATCGTACAATATGCGAATATGATAACCCTCTCAAAGTCAATGTAAGCTGTGATTTACTACTCGAATCCTCCCTACAGGGCTATTAAACACCGAATGAAGACGTTAGGGCCACACCGCCAGCAAGAGATAATATTCCCGGTAAAATACTTGGTAAGATATGAAACCTAAAGACCCTAACCTTCGAATAAAACCCCATTCTTCGACTCTCGAATGCCTTAGGGTACTGTGGCGGGGCGCGAGGCTCCCGCACCCCCAAGGGTAATGACCATTTTCAAGCCCCCTTACATGATGTTTTGCACTTGAAGCTTGAGGTCATATCCGAGCCCTTATGATCGCATGGGCAGGTGGTCGACTGTGACTTGAGGGTGTGACCACAGGTATATGTTATCATGTTATAACACATCGTGTTGGAGGTAGAGTTTATAGCTATATATTAAAGTATTTAGTTAAGATAGTGTAGTTAAGGAACTGGTAAACATACTCTGAGCCTAAATAGATTTCTTGTTGGTAGGTTTAAATTGGATTGAGAAAAGAGTGATTTTCTTGCTGTTTATATATTTAGTCATATGACGGTTTGGAATACCATAGGGCTGCGGATAGAGGACCTCCTCGCCTTGGCAGGCGGTCATACTCCAAGCCAAGTTGTTTCCTTCACTCCCGATGGCACAGCTGAGCGGGGTGGGTAAAAACTTGCAGAAGAGATATCACAAACCAACTTCTTACGGCGCATGCTTAAGGCTACCTGCATAGATGAAAGCCTCTTCGCGCAAGACTAGTAAGAAGCTAGGAGTCCCGATTTTGATTTATGCATTTCGCCCTAATAATGAGTCTGGGCGCACTACCCAATAATAGATAAGAGTTCGTTGGCACAAACAGGAGTGGGTAAGAGCTTGGGCGCAATAAGGGTCGACCTCGCCTATACCCGGTGCTTGGCGGATTTTGGGCCGAGGGTATAGACACGTACGTTAGGTACGCGTTGAGAAAGATCCTTTTCTTTTTCTTTTTTTTTTTTTTTTGTCTTTTTTCCCACGGCATTTAGGGTCCAGTTTGGATGTAGTAAGTATAATAAGACTATCTTTTCGAAAGCAGATTGAATTCACCAATTTAGCTTAAATAAGGATGGAACCCCATTGAATGCATGCCTTCAAGACCAAGGTCTGAACAGTGTATATCTAAAACGTGCATTATCTTTTTACAAATTTCAAGTCTGGCTGTGAATGTTATATGAATCGTATATGGTATTGTTCGCTATTTACATCGTCAAATCATAAAGAAAAGACAGATTCCCGCCTAGATGGTATACAAAACATTTGTCTCGTAAAGTTTGGTTGACTTAGTTCTTGGCAGCCTCTGTAATATTGTTAGGACCCTGCTTTATTAAGTTGTGTTCAATGGGATTCAAGCTTACCCTTGTGGACATCAGCCTTGGTGTTGTGGGAAACCTCGTCCTTCTTGTCGACAAGAGCGTCCTTGGCAGCGCTGGCACGGGTAGAGACGTTGGCATCGCTGCTCTTGGCGACGTTCTTGTTGGCCTCCTTGGAAGCCTCAGCACCAGTTCCCTGGATGGTCTCAGCGACGTAGTTAACGGCTTGCTATGGAATTTGTTAGTCAATGATCAAATATCAAGAGAGTTAGGTTGATCACGAACCTTGGCGGTCTCCATTGTGAAATTGAGAGTTGGTTTTGTTTGAAAAGGTTGAAGAGTGTTTGAAGATTGTTTGAATAGTGGAAGATGAGCTGTGATGAAGAATGAATTGTCTGGGGGAATTGAAGGATATTTATGTAGTTCTTCCCAGGGGCAATGATGTCATGACGTCATGGGAGTTTCCAAGAGTTTCCAACTTGCAAGTTTGGACAAATGAAAAATCTGGGAAGTTTCCAAGGCTGTAACCCCAGCTCTAAATCCACAGTTTACACTTTACCGTTTCTAACCTTTTGGAATTCCTGACATCACTACGGGGTATAAGAGAAGATAGGCTTAGATCTATTGTACTACACGCGTATGATTTGCGGCTCTGATAGACGCTAGCTCGCACGTTCCATATTCTTCCATACTATGCCCCTTCAAACTTGAGAGACATTCCATAGACATCCATATCCAACTATGATATTCAAATTCCTAAGCTACAAGACCCCCAGACTGTTCACGGACCCACTAAGCCATGACGTAGTTTACCTTTACCCCAATACACACGGCATTTGCATTTGGCCTGCTACAAAATAGCTTCCATGGAATAGGTTTAGACCTTCGAATAGATCAACTTGGCTAAATTGAAGCAATATAGTATTGTAGACAATTTCAAGACCCATTTTGTTATTATTTTAATGGTACAAGAAAGGTGTTCAGCCTTCTCAAAGACCATAAATTGTTGTAGAAAGATCCCACCAAGCAAGCATAAAGCCATATAGATCATAAAGCCACATGGATCTAATTTGGCACGTTGGAATGCATTGTCCAGCCACAACCCTGAAATGGACCTGTCCGATGTCATACATTAGCCCCGAGCTTGTTGGGCCTATGACGTAGTTCATCCGACTGATATGCACCTCGTATACACTACCTTATGTTGTGGACACCATAGATCACCGGTATCTGAATCCACGAATGAAAAATGAACCTAGGTAATATCTTCATCCCTTAGTACTAGGACTAGGATATCACATTATTAGCCTAAACGCTTCAGTCATCTGATCTAGTCGCCACTAGATCATAATATTTATCCGTGTTTCCAATTCTGGACTTTAAGGGTTCGATTATTATGGTCTTGGTAGAGAAGTGCAACATAACATAAGTCATTTACATAGATAAAAAAATGTGTGTATATTCGTGCAGATAGGCAACATTTTCATTTGTTTCTCCTAACCCTACTCATGGGTTTCTAAGGAATAAAACTTCCAAGACGGCTTGTGTTCACGCGATAGTGGTTGATCTTGCATCAAGGCTCGCGCCAACTCTATTGGCATACAATTCTCCTTCAAAAACCGATCATGAAACTCCTTCTCACCAAGGTGCCCCGTCTCGACAGTCTCCTTCCGCAATGCATATATTTGTAACGCACCTAGCATATACCCGGCCTGATATAACGGCGAATAATCGCCATTCAATGATCGCCTCACTTCTCCTTCCGCAGTGGCGCGTTCGTGTCCGACTTGATCGACAAGTAGATCGATACACTCTTGAGGAGCCATCTGGCCAAGATGAAACTTGATGGAGAATATAATCCGGGCGCATCGATGAAGTCGCCAAAACAACATCCCAATCCGGTTCTGTGGGGTCTTTTGGAACCGTTCGTCATTCCACAGGAGGAACTCCCAGTACAGCGCCCACCCTTCAATCCAAAACGGAGTGTCAAATAGTTGGCGGTAGGGTCTGTATCTCGCAATCATGTGCATTTGCAAATGGTGCCCGGGTATCATCTCATGGAAGACCGTAGCACGGGAGAAATGGATGTTGTTCCCACGCATGCTCATCAACTTGGCTTCATGGTCCATCTGGTCGGTTGGATATGAGACAATGATACACTCGCCACCAAGGAAGAACGGGTTTACTTTCTGGCGCTCGGGAGACATCATAAACATCTGCCAGTTCTCCTTAGCAACCGGTGGAACGGTGACGAGTTGGTGATCTTCAACAAAGGATATTGCTTCCATCGTGAGATCCCGGACTAATTCAGTTTGTTTTCCAGGCTCGACAAAATCATTCTTGACTTCTTCCAGGGCCTGCTTCCAGTTGTCCTGGTACCCCATGCTGCGTGATGCCTTTTTCAATTCACTCACACACCATTTGAACTCCTTCTCTCCGATTGAGATTAGTTCTTCCGGAGTGTAGGCAATCATTTCACCTAAGAGCTCGCTAAGTAAACCCTCTCGACCGATGGGATCACCCACTATGGCATCGTCATTGCCTGGGCGAATTCCAGCCAAGTGCTCTCGGATACTTGCTGAAACATCTCTCAAACCCTTTTCCACAATCCCATACGGATGCGATACCCACCAGTTGAACGATGGATCGTACCCTTTGTAGAATTCGAACCATTCTTTCAGGTTGGTGTGCAATGAGTCTATATTTCTCGCGGCTCTAAACGCAATTGTTTTCTCCATCCGGATCTTGGTCGAGTCGTTCTCGATCATTTCTATCACGGCTGTGATTTGAGACTGGGATTCAACAAGCTTCTGGGCAGCATCTTTTGAATTCATCGACACCACCATAGCACGAGCCTCGCACAGCTCCAACAGGTTGTCCGAAAATGGTAGAAGCAGTGCGGTCTTTTCATCCTGTTTACAGTCGAGGTCCAACTCGCGGAGCTGCCTTTCTAGGTAGTTTCTCATGAGAAGATAATCTACCTTCCCTTGTTGATCATAAAGATCAAAGGGCTGGCTGCGGAGTGACTCGAGCTCGGATGTGAGGAAGTCGCGTAATTTCTGTGTTCTTCTCGGAGATATCTTGATGGGGTAAAAATTCTTGATATCTTTGAGATCCTCAGTGATGCGCTCAATTCTCTCGCGCATTCCATCGGCTTGTGCACGCCGGATGGCGATGCCCCTGGGTGACGTGACAGATACCATGACAGGCAGGATCCGGTTATTGTCCTATTTTGTTCGAAAACGGATGGGCTTTTGTTTGCTTTTTTTAAAAAATGTTTTCTTTTTCGAAAGTGAGCTTCAGGGGGAGTATCAGCAGAGACGTGTAGCGGAGAAGCTCTTTCTTAGGACTGGACTAACCCTGGAGAAAAAGAAAAAGATAGGCTTACATCTAAAGCAGAATTTCGACCCTTGTGATACATTTGATTGAAATAGGTAGGTCCTACCACAAGCTACTACATCGGGTGGTGCATCCGATGTTATACCCCCTGTCGCTGGTCGATCCGAATGGTGGGTTTCTGTTCATATCGCAGCAACTAACTTAGTTTATAAACCCGCGTGGTTTCTCCGCTTTTATACCTAAAGGAGGTACGTTGTTATCAAAATGGGATTCCTATTTATCTCCGAAGGTTAAAGAGATGATAGCTGATGGGTTGGAATGCGGGGAAATCAAGGGCTGAACTTGTGTATAGCCATTGTCAAGCTAGATAAGGTGAACTTTGAATTGTGCACGGAGTACAGGCCTTTTTCTATGTCTCTAATCTCTCTTTTGAATTTCTTTCCGAGGTCGTACTCGCTATATAAGTCTAGATTGCCGGGCTCTCTCCCGCTGTTCATATTTAGAAGCCTTTTAACACTAAGTCAATTGATCAACCGGATTCTAACCGGGTTACTTTTTACCGTATTATCGCAGGATGGGTTCGCATCTGCCTGTCACGGAGGGCCTTGACCCAACCGATAATGACAAGTCAACGCCCAACACAGGAATCCACGAGTTACGGAAAGTCCAACTATCTCACCAGTGGGATCCGAATTTGCCGCAGGAGAAGATCGATGCTATTAACGAAGCAGTCAAGACAGGTGACCATGAAAAGGCTGCTGAGATAGAAAAGACTCTCGCTCAGGATTCCCAGTATGACTTGGTTCGTGCCGCTGTGCGTAACACAGATGGCGGAGAAGTTGCAAACACCGTGCGTGCCTGGGTGCTGGGCATGTTTTTCACTACTCTTGGAAGTGGACTCAATATGTTTCTGAGCATGAGGTGAGCTTTGGTTCCAATGCAGCATTTAAGTAGGGAATGATTCACTCATCTTGGATCAGGAGTCCCGCCATCTCGTTCCCTGCTATTGTCGTGCAGTTACTGGTCTATCCCTTGGGTTGTTTGTGGGCCAAGACAATGCCAACTCGGAAGTTCAATACATTCGGGGCAGAATGGACGTTTAACCCTGGCCCTTTCACTATCAAAGAGCATGCAGTTATCACAGTAAGTGCTTGCATGTTTATGAGAATAACGAAAACTGACCTTGTATTCTTTAGATCATGGCGAAGTCAGTGGATCTCGATGATAAACTTTGACATGCAGTGCTAAGCAATATATAGTGTGTCGATCGGCTATGCTTATTGTACAGATGCCCTCTTGGCATTGAAAGCAAAGCGTAAGCAATATCTCTTGCTTTGAATCAATATATGCCTAACATACCCTCTCAGCGCTCTATAATATGGAACTTGGATGGGGATTCCAACTCTTATTCGCTTTGAGCAGTCAGGTGATTGGAATGTCACTGGCAGGCATTTTCCGCCGTTTCCTCGTTTGGTAAGTTGGGACTTTCTCTGCCAAGACTGCTGTATACTCACGATACCAAGGCCCGCGGCTATGATGTGGCCTGGTCAATTTGCGAATACTTCCTTGTTTTATGCTCTTCACGATTGGAGCCCCTCGGATGAATCAGAGACCCATGGATGGAGCATCTCACGCTACCGATATTTCCTATATGTAACAATCGGGGCTTTTGTCTGGTATTGGTGAGGCTGCCCTGTTCCCATCTGTACTACATATGCTAATTTGTTTGAAATGCAGGGTACCGGGGGTCCTATGGCAAGGACTATCTGTTTTTGCTTTTGTCACCTGTAAGGTCCCGTTGCTCGTTTCATTTCTGGCTGTGCTGACTCCTTTGTCTGTAGGGATCCGACCCAACAATGTGGTTTTGAACCAGCTGTTTGGAGGTTTTACTGGACTCTCCCTCATTCCTATCACCTTTGATTGGACGTAAGATTTATAGTCCCCATCGCAGAACGGCCGAAGGGATATAAAGCTAATTATAGCCAGCTACGTTTCTGCATATCTCGGGGATCCACTGTTGGCACCCGTCCATGCTCTTGTCAACACACTCATCGGGCTCGTGGTTTTTGTAATCATCACCACAATCGGGATATCTTACTCTGGGGCTTTGTATGCTGCAATATCTCACCAGATTCATTTCAAGACTGACAGAGTCCTAGATACTCCGACTATCTCCCTATTAACACAGCTAGCACCTATGACAACACGCAGAATCCATATAACGTAACAAGAATCCTAGGTGCTGGTTTCTCTTTTGATGACGCAAAGTACAAAGCGTACTCGCCGATGTTCCTGGCTCCAACTTTTGCCTTGAACTACGGACTGTCATTCGCGGCCCTTACGGCGGCTATCGTACATGTTATCCTCTTCCATCGAAAGGAGATATGGCATCAATTCAAGGCTGCTCGAGACCAAGAACCTGATATCCATCTTATCATGATGAAGAAGTACAAAGAAGCACCCGACTGGTGGTATGCAGCGCTATTCCTATTCTCCATCGCGACGGGGCTTGCAGGCATTCTGGCATATGATTCGCAGCTTCCCTGTATGTGGTGCTCATCTGGATGTGGTGACCAAATCTGATCAAATACATAGGGTGGGGCTTTTTTGTCTCGATCATCCTTGCCGTGGTCTTTATAGTATGTTGTGTCATGTCCATTGTGAGGCTATTCCTGACTTCAAACAACAGATTCCAACTTGTCTGATTCTTGGTGTTACTAATATCATGCTCTGTGCGTACGGTCTCGCTCCTTTTGCGTGCGTGCAAGGCTAACCTGTACAGCGCTCAATGTTTTGTCGCCATTTTTGGCGGGTTTCATGATTCCAGGAAAGCCAATTGGGGTCATGGTATTCAAAGTCTTTAGCACCATCACCTTGGGACAAGCGTAAGGTTCAATCCTCTCTTTCTAGAATGAAGCTAACCTTATCAATAGTCAAGTATACTGTGCGGATCTCAAAGTAAGGGACTTCCTACCCATATCAGTTGGACAGATTATTGACTGTTCTTGAACAACAGCTCGCTCATTATATGAAAGTGCCACCCCGCGTCACCTTCATGTGTCAAGTTGTTGCCACACTATGGGCGAGTATTGTTCAGATTTCAGTCATGAATTGGACTTTGGGAAATATTGATGAAGTTTGCACCCCGTATGTCATTCACATCTTTGGAAAGAGAACACGCATTAACCAGCTATGAATAGTACTCAGTCAGCACATTTTACATGCCCGAACGGAAGATCATTCTTTTCATCCAGCATTGTGTGGGGTCAGTTTACTTTCTCTCAAGTATATATCAACATATCACTAACTATCTATTTAGGTGTCATTGGCCCACAACGCATGTTTGGACCCGGCGGCTTGTATGTGCAAATACAATGGTTCTGGCTTCTTGGCGCACTTCTTCCAGTGTTATTCTATGTCTTGATCAGATTGTTCCCTCGAACTAAGCTCAGGTTCCTTAATGCACCTGTGTAAGTCACGGAAGATCACATCTGATGGAATATGCTAATTGTGTCAACAGAATGCTGGGTGCTATGGCCTGGTTGCCTCCGTAAGTACAACCTTCACTCTGTTACTCACGGCTACCTGATACTGATCGTTTTACAGAGCCACTCCATTGAGTTTCTTTGCATGGGTTACCTTTGGCCTCATCTTCAACCACTGGATTCGACGTCGGTGGGGCGGTTGGTGGCATACTTACAACTATATCACCGCTGCAGGACTTGACTCAGGCCTCATTCTATCCACCATTATTATATTCTTCGCGATTATTCTTCCGAATGTCTCGATACCCCAATGGTGGGGAAATACAGCTCCCTTTGAAACCACGGTAAATAGCTATATCCCGTCGTTTATTTGAGTGGGTCCTAACGAAGAATATAGGACTCTCTTTATACTGCAGTTCGAAAGACTGTCGCAGATGGAGAGACTTTTGGACCTGAGAAGTGGTGATACTGTCGCATTAAATATGCTTTGGAATTATATATGAATGCTGATTATTTTATTTTATGAAGTTGAATACTTGACTACATGTACCTATCCCCTCGGGATATTTATAGATCCTCGGCACACGTGATCAGTTAGCATTTCCCCAGTATGTAGCACAGGTGGTGACGTGGTCACATATATGCATGTAGTCCCTGAAAAAACATATGGAGTACAATAAGCTATGTAGAGAAAAAAAACAAGATTTTAAAGAATTTTCTGAAAGAAAAGGGGCCGTCGGGGTGAAACCCAGCCTCAAACAGAATTTGGGTATCAACTCGAAAGCTTTCCTTAGTAGCCCGCCCCTAGACGATCTCCGCATCCCAACCTCCTTCTTACTCTTACCCCCCCTCCATCTTCTTTCAGTATCCTCTTCCATTTCCACGGGATTTGTTTCATCCCGTGAGACAGTCCTCGCACCGCATCAACTGTGCTTGGGCTCGAGCCCTGGCTGCGGCTTCCCTCCCCGCTTCCTTTGACTCGAAATCCCTCAAAGGGGAACCATCGACGATGTCAGTACCAACAACTAATACACCAACTGTGGTGCGCAGCCAGTCAACTTCGACTCGTCCCTCTCGAGCACCATCGGATCTGCCTCATCGGACACGAAGTGTGGCGGTTCGATCGTCAAATACGACCCAGCCTCCTACGCCAACTAACCTGTCACATTCGAAAACTCCTTCCCAGGACCGACGTCCTCCCTCAAATCATACTGCACTTGAGGGTGCAGCCCGGCGCGAATTTGAGGCGTCCAATGTCGCGCGCATGCCTTCTCGTCGGGAAGCGTCATCCGATCGATCTCAAGAGCGCCCCTCGACCGCTCGAACCGAAACTGCCCGAAGGCACCAAAGAAACCCCTCAACGCAAAGTCGACACCGTGACAGTGTTGATATGACACCAAGCTCTGCTCCACAACTGCCACCACAGCATGCGACCGCAACAAGTGCCCCCGCAGCCGCAGCCGCGCCGCGGCGACGGACTACGATCACGACTCCGACGGGTCAGTGGGCTCTAGGCAAAACAATAGGTGCGGGAAGTATGGGGAAAGTAAAACTAGCGAAAAATACGGAGACTGGAGAACAGGTACGATATTCAACTATGATTGACTCAAATTATCATCACAATACTAACTACGGTCGCAGGTTGCCGTTAAAATTGTGCCACGACTCTCGACCGAGGAACATCGCACTAGTCGGGAGACAGAGAGAGCCGATCGCTCAAAGGAGATTCGCACAGCTCGAGAAGCTGCCATCGTCAGCCTAGTGAACCATCCGTACATCTGCGGCATGCGGGACGTCGTTCGAACATCATACCATTGGTATATGCTGTTTGAATATGTCAACGGTGGCCAGATGCTGGATTATATCATCTCGCACGGCAAACTGAAGGAAAAGCAGGCGCGCAAGTTCGCACGACAGATCGCCAGTGCATTGGATTACTGTCACCGCAACAGCATTGTCCATCGCGACCTGAAGATTGAGAACATCCTTATCAGCAAGACGGGTGATATCAAAATCATTGATTTTGGTCTCAGCAACTTGTTCTCGCCAAGGGGCATTCTGAAGACGTTTTGTGGCAGTCTGTATTTCGCTGCTCCGGAGTTGCTTCAGGCCAGACCCTATACGGGACCCGAAGTTGATGTTTGGAGCTTCGGCATTGTCCTTTATGTCTTGGTTTGTGGAAAGGTACCTTTCGATGACCAGAGCATGCCCCAGCTGCATGCCAAAATCAAGAAAGGCGTTGTAGAGTACCCACCAGGTCTCACTGCTGGTAAATCGACCTTGAAATAACCCTTTCTCTACACCCATTGCTGACTAGGCTTCGCAGAGTGCCGGCACATTATATCACGCATGCTGGTTACCGACCCCAAGCAGCGTGCCAGCTTAGCCGAGATCATGAACCATCCCTGGATGAATAAAGGATTCAGTGCCCCTCCAGAGAATCACCTTCCTCATCGTGAGCCTTTGCAGCTACCTCTAGACCCAGAGGTCGTTGAAAAAATGACCGGGTTTGACTTTGGGCCTCCGGAGTACATTACAGCTCAGTTGACCAAAGTATTGGAGTCGGAGGAATACCAACATGCTATCCGGCTGAACTTACGTGAACAACAACAGCATGCTTCCAGCCACCCAGAGCGTAAACGAGGAGTGTTTGATTTCTACAAAAGACGAAACTCTGCGGCCAGTCGTGATACCCTTTCCGCGCCTTCGGCTGAGGCGGTGCAACTAGGCAATGACCCTTTAAATGCTTACAGTCCATTGGTGTCCACATATCATCTAGTCAAGGAAAAGCTTGACCGAGAGCGGTCCGAGGCACGGCCTGGTGCCGTTGGTCTTCGTCAAACCCCCAGTGAAGTCCACGTACCTGAACTGCGGGCCCCGGAAGCTGCGCACACCAATCAGTACCAGTTGGCAGGAGACAAGGATACAGGACGGCGATCTCGGCCACGAGCCCGTACCCATGGGGAGGACGAAGCTCCGGAAGGAATCAAGATACTTCATTCTTCCTCGCCATCTTCACACGCAGTCCCGACCTCTCAGCCCGACACACCTGCTCGGAAAGAAAGCACTGCTGCTGGACTCTTGAGACGATTCAGCACTCGCAGGACCAAAGATCGTCACCGCGATGCGGATCGTGATCACATCAGTACCCCCAACACACCCACACTCAACGTCCAACCTCCTGCTGATTCAGCATCTCCGATGCACCGTGGCTTCAGTGTAAGGAGAACTCGTCGAGCGGAACCATCGCCAGGTGGGACCTCTTCGAATGACAGCCGGCCACAGCAGGATCTTCTGGCTGCGCCGACATCCGCGGACCGCAGTGCACGGTCCAACAAATTCCTGGAGAGATCGGCCAGTGTCAATTCTGCAGACTACCGAACTCGCAGAGCCACACGGAGAAGTGACGACGAGACCTTGGATGTCCCTGCAGACCGTCAGCCACCCTCTACTAGTGACTCCGATCAGGTTGCTCCGAGTCAGAAAGATCCAACCAGCGTGAGGACTGGTGGACGCACACATACGGCACGCACCATGTCACTGGGACACGCCCGGCGAGAAAGTATTCAGGCCCGCCGCGCCCGGCGAGACGCTACCCGAGAGGCCAACGTGCCCGAAGAGACCGATGCAGACATCTCTGGTGCAGGGACGGCACTAGAGAGTGCCAACGAGGGAGAAGATCTGTCTAAGCCAGTGTTCCTAAAGGGTCTTTTCAGCGTTTCCACCACCAGCAGCAAACCTTTGCCCGTTATTCGGGCTGACATTATTCGGGTCTTGAGGCAGCTCGCAGTTGAATATGTCGAGATCAAGGGTGGGTTTAGCTGCCGCCACGCCCCCAGCATCGACCTCGACAAGGTGATTGATGTTGCCCCTCCCAGTCCAGAACGACAGGGGCAAGTGTCAGGACACCGCCGCCGTATCAGCTTTGGCGGCCTCCTTAACCACGATGACAGCCGAGATGACAGCCGCGCTGGCCCCTCCAAGCTTCGTCGAGCTCAAGCTGCGCCGGATCGCAGTTTTACCACTAACTCGGACGGCTCGGATGAATATGTTGCACGGGAACAGGGTCCGGTTGGCGATCGTGTCGTCGGCGAAACTACTACACGTGTACAGAGCGACACCGGAGAGAACCTTGTCCTCCGGTTCGAAATACTGATCGTAAAGGTACCTCTGTTCTCTCTACACGGTATTCAGTTCAAGAAGGTATCAGGTGGAATGTGGCAGTATCGAGAGATGGCGAAGAAGATCCTCGATGCATTGAAACTGTGACCTGTCCTTTTGAAATAAAATTCCTGGCCAAAGAGCACATTTCATGATAAGACCTTTTCCTTTGTCTTTATGGTACACAGTTGGCCATTTGTTTTGAGTTATATCCATTCACGACGCATCCGCATGAGCATTCATCAATTTCGCCCCGTTATCATTGCATTTCCATTGCTATCTTTGCTTTCCTTCTTTCATAGAGGGGTCATTTATCTTCATTAGCCCGTTATTGGCTCTTCATCCCGAACCTAAGTGCTGCTCGTCTATCTCAATACCTATTGACCTAGCTAGACTTACTTTTTGGTCTTCATGGTGTATATTAAAATCGAGTGCAGATAATTTTGGTTGCTAGCGCTTTTGCTCTAGCTTTTGTTTTCCCCTGTGTCATCTATCAGCTGTGGCATAGGGAGATTTCTTTGGACAGTTATGAACTTCACGTTGTCCAGCCTACAAATACAAAATGGTTACGGCAATCTTGGAATTTCTTTTTCGTTAACTGCTGTTTACTGGTCAGATAAGTGCAAATCACATTACAAGTTTGTTGTAACTCAATGCTAGCCCATTCCTTTGTTGGACAACTCGGGTACCCTTCTGGGGATTCAATCAAATAAACACCGGCGGGCAACACCAAATATCGTTCGAAATCCCCCCACGACCATTCCTGGGTATAGTTAGATAGATCATAGCACCTTACATTCAAAGCTATTCAGAATCAAATGTGGGCATAGTGTCTACAGTTTCTAGGAAGCATCAATACCCCCTATCTGCATTTATGTAGACAACAAGTCCATGATATTCTTCTTCTTTTTTAAAAAAGAAAGAAAAATAGAGTACTTATATACATTAACTTCCATTTTGGGGTTCGTTGACGATCCTCGTGAAGCCGTGAAGCTAAACGGCAGGATCGTAGCACAAAGCCCCAAAACGTTGTGGCATGGCGGCCAGGGCCCAGGGCCCAGGGCAGCTGTTTTGTTGTGTAACCCCCGCCCGAAACCCCGCCGGACCATGCCGGACCCTGGCAGGCCATGCCCAAAGGACTGCATATCGGCTCCCGCATCGAACTGGCCAGTTGGCGGAAGCACCGAAAGATCTCAGCAACGAAATCCACCAACTCCCAGTATGTGCTCGATAGCTACATATATATAAATGGAATTTAAAGCTATAAAGGATGCTTATCTATAAGCTAATCATCTATTATTGTCTTGGAGGATAAAAAGAGTCTATTTAAATTTTATATTAGGCTTGTATTAGGGTGGCCCGGCCTTCATCTGATAGCCGTATCCCCCCGGGCCCCGGGCCCCATCATCACCAAAACAACGGCTTTGGTTGGGGAGGGCCTAGGGCCGAATGCCCCTAGAAGCTGTCCGGATACCCCGGAAACCTTCCCAAGGCTGCGTAGGTGTATGGCTACTAAGGCATTGATAGGAAACCCGGAGGACCACGTAATGAGCGTTATACTTCGCTTTTTCTTCTAATACACGCGACACCGCCAAATTTCTATACAATCCGACTTATTCATGGTATTAATATAGAATTATATATAATCGTACTATTAATGCTATAAAAAATAGGCGAACTCCGATGCTAAGTCATCAAATATATGGGACGTTGATTGGGTGAAGTGAGGCACGGCCCGCATGGCCCGACATTGATGCCAAGACTTTACAACAGCGATTGTGACCAAATCTTCAAAGCCCTCTATACATCGAAGCACACGTCTGATTGGATTAATAAATATACCAATCGATAGAGGGCGTCGAGGTCTATAATATGAATATATTTTTATACGTTTTTAAGCTCTTTTCGTGTCAGTAAGCTATCGGATGGCTGGGAACCGATTAACACCCATAACTGTCCTGGGCGATGTTCCCGCACTTCCCAACAACCACTTTTAATTGTCCAACCAGCGGTCACCATCCCGAATGCCCCTATCAACGCAGAACACAGCAAACTTGGGACTTGAAACTTAAAACTCATTCATTCGATAGTCGAAATTGTTAATATTAGAAAAATAATAGATATAGACATATTTTTCTTTGAATTGAGGTGATAATGAAGGTTAACGCTAGGTGATAATTACCTATTTGGGAAGGAGCTAATAAGGTGCTGAGTCAGCACCTGTCACCGGCCCCGCCACGATCTTCCCGTGCTTGATTTCTCGATTTCGCCTCTTTTATAACCTCCCACCCCAATCTTTAACCATGTCTCCCATCCGCCACGAACGTCGGATGTTCTTCTAGTATCTTTTAGTTTTACCGGCGCGTCTTGGAGATACGATTTCTTTTTCTTTTTTTCCCATCTCGACGCGCTGATTTTCACCTATCCCTTTCTCGTCGCCTCTTAGGCTGAGATCCTCGACTCGTCATCATTTCGAGGACCTAAAGAGCCTCTTCTTTCTTAATCTACTCGTCTTCCATATCAACTATCCTAAAAGGTATGTAATCGCGAAACTCGATGTGTTATTGCACGCGTTCTGAAGCCTGTCACACTCTAACACCTACGCGCTTAGGATGGCGGGACGCGTTCCCCTTGGCTCGGGGGCTAATCAGAATAAAGTGTTCATTGACTTGACTGATGAGCCTGAACCAACTGATTCTGAAATGGTGCGTTCTTGTGCCCGTTCACTACTTTCAAAGGCTTAAGGCCTTTCCTCTGGGCCCGTGCGCCCTTTTCTTTGTCTCGATTTCACTCCTAGTCAACTGTCCACTTGACTTATTTTGGAAATTCAATCCCACCCACTACGTGTCTAATTTTTACTAAATTTCACGCTTAGCCAAAGAAATTGGCCCAGGGCAAGCTTCCATTTGTGACTTTGGCTTATCGGTCACCAACGGTGCCACTGAAAAGAAAGAACGTGGATATCTCTGAGGGGGTCTCTGATGCCTCGTCAAGTGATATTCCCAATATCTCAACCGATGTTCGCAATGCACAGCGTCCGCGCCTGTCCCATGCCCACCCTGATCCATCTACGCCTAGTCCCTCACCAAGCCTAAAGCCGTCTCAAATCAGTGTTGTGATTCCATCCCCAACCTCCAAGCAAAGGCGCGAAATTGCAATTGCAGAATGTCCTCCTGATGTGAATGGAATGGACACGGACATATTTCCTACAACTGACGAAGAGGAAAGAGTCGCTAAAGCTGCATATCCTACTACTAAGGATCGTGTTGACCGTCGTTCTGTGCCATTGTCATTCACCACAAGCTCGGTTCCCAACTTGGCATCATCTAAGGAAACTAAATACCTTTCAAAGCTCCGTCGCACTCTTGACGAGAAGCTAAAGCGCATCAATGGGCCCACGGTCATTCCGACTGTTGATTCCCCGACACGACTTGCTAAACTAGCCGATAACTTTGAGTTTGTCAACAGTTATCAGTACCGTGAGGGTGTTGAACGGATTCCCGATGAATCTGATTTCAACATCGGATGTGCATGCCCTGAGGATGTTGGCTGTGATCGTTTTATATGCGATTGCCTGAGTAAGGAAGAAGACTCGGAAGATCGTATCGTCCCTTATGAGATCTGCGAAAGCAACCGTAAATTGATTGTCGCAACCAAGAGTTTCCTCAAGCGTAAGGCGATCATTTATGAATGCAATTCCCGTTGCGGCTGCAGTGGGCAAAAATGCTGGAACCATGTCGTTCAGAAAGGAAGAACTGTCAGATTGGAGATCTTTGACACCGGCCCTCGAGGCTTTGGTTTGTCTCACTTTATCTTCTCTTATCCTATTTTCACTAACCTAATCTGATCTTTATTAAGGCCTTCGGTCCCCAGACTTAATTCACCGTGGGCAATTTATCGACCTTTACCTCGGTGAGGTGATCACCAAGGCTGAAGCCGATGAACGCGAGAACCTAACCGATGGTTCCCATACACAATCCTACCTTTTCTCTTTAGATTGGTATGTGAAGGATGATGATGACGAAGAAAAAAACATGAAAGTCATCGATGGCCGCAAGTTCGGCTCGGCAACTCGATTCATGAACCACTCCTGCAGCCCTAACTGCAAAATCATTCCCGTCTGCACCACCAATCACGCAGATGAATACCTCTACAACCTTGCTTTCTTTGCGAACCAAGATATCTCCCCTGGCACTGAGTTGACATTCGACTATAACCAGGGCGAGGAAAACACTACTCCTCAGAAGATTGACCCAGAAGCTGTGCAGTGCCTATGCGGTGAAGCCAAGTGCCGGGGCCAATTATGGCCCAACAAGCGCAAGGGCCAAATCTAAGCCCTAACAGACTTTCTTTGATTTAACCGCGCCTTGGTCCGCCCTTGCCAGCTGGTCAATACCCTCATACCTTTCGTTTTTTTGCGATTTCTCATCCCCATAACATGTGTGATTAGCGATTTGGGGTTTTTTTAACTCAATCATGACCATAACGCAAGTGCATAGGAGCGAGCATCAATTACCCCGTCTTTCAGGCATTTTTAACGGCGTCCTGATTTCTTTCATCTCAGCTATCTTTGTTTGCCTTCGCCATGTGTTAGGATACCCTGATGAAGATTATGTATGATTAACAAAGCCTAGTTTCAATTATTCTCAGCCTATTCGACTTCGCCCTGGTGCTATCGTTTTGTACTAGTTGCCAAGCCACGGTTGCCAAGTTCTAACAGTAGGATCTCTAAATTAGGACTATAAAACGGTAGCTATATACTGATAGAGTGATACTGACTGTAACTATACTATTAGTTTCTAACTCTGTGTTAAGTAGCAGAAAACTTGCTATATAAAGTATATAAAATCTCTAGCTAGTCCTTCTCCTAACTAACTCCCATCCTAACTCATATCGTATCCCATATTTCCTAACTAAACCAAAGCAAATAACCATCTAATTGGCTTTATATATAAAATGATTCTAATAAGGTTTTATATAGGCTAATAATTATCGAACCTTGGAACAGAGTCATAATTTGTCAGCTTTGCACCCGGCCTGGAATTCAAGGGCTTGTTCCAAGGTTATATATGGTCCGTGCCACAACCTTTCTTATAAGATGTTTAGCAATAACTATCCTAAACAACCTCGAAGCTATTCCCATTAGTGTTAATCTAGTTATTCTCTAACCATAGTCATTATTCAATCATGACGGCCAATATCACCACGTATCACCTAGGCAATTTCTATACATGAATAGTTCCTCTAATGCCACGGCTATATATTCATACGGGGTTTATTCAGTCGTGTAAGCGATATAGTTGAGACTAGAATAGTTAGCACATATAGAGTGTATTAATGTTGAAAGAAATAGCTAAAGATGAAATATATATATTGTAGCGGGAATATCTTACTACTTGGGCACCCATAGTACTGATAATATAAAAGCCGCTTAGGGTTCAATATCATATATGGAACGTACAAGTAACTAAAAATTTAGGCTATAAATTTCAGTTGGTACGTTTGTGCTAGCCCCGAGGCAAGCCCATATCCCTCGCCAAGCTAACGTGCTCGTTAGGGTTCACCGGGGCTATACTTCCGTCAATGGGTTATGTCTCAAGTCCTCGTCAAGCTCACCTTGTCAAACCCTCAAACAACCAATTCTACGATGCGACCAATGCAAATAAAATACCTAGGGCTTTCGAGTAGAAATAAAGCTGGACTTATTGCCCTACAAATCCCACCCTACTAAGCTCACTACTCCGTAGTGGAATATACATCAGACAAACCTGAGACATAAACGCCATCAAACAATAAGCACAAAACAAGCTTGAAACATTGAAACTATATCCGCAAGGACTCTCAAATGTAAAAAAAAAAAAATACAAATCTTGACATATTTCCAAATCCAGCCACATGTATACAATCCCACATTCTTTTCCGAAAGCAGAAAAAAATCCTTCCACATCTGCAGGCAATTAAAACAAATAGAGTATCACAGCGTAGGCCGGTAAGAAGAAAAAAACAAGAAAAAGAAAAAATAGGAAGAGTTTCCAGGGCTGTCCTGTGGTGAAGGCTAATCCCGCCCCTCCATAACCTCAAAGATCCCTCCCATCACAAAATTCGGCTTCACCTCGCCAATCCCTAATACCACCGGTCGAGGCTCCATCAACCCCAGTCCCTGTCTCTCAATGGAATCCTCGTTACATCGCAAGCGCTCCTCGCTTAGTGCCAGGTCAGTCTTGGATGGTCGTTGGCGGAGGATTCTTGATGAACGGCCACGTAGGACAGCGCAGGGGGGCACGCTGATGCTGTTTGCATTGTCGGAGACTTGACGCGGGCGGGGAGATGGGTTTCCGGGGCTAGTTGTGCGCCGGAGACTGTCGGGTTGCCCTCGAGATGTGTGGGTTTTGGAGGGGTGGAAGGATAGGTTGAAGAGGTGGTGTGGAGAGATATGGGATGAGTGGGTGGAGGTTGGGGAGGATGGTGGTGAGGTTGTTGTTGAGCTTGGGTTTGAATCGCTTGATTTTGGACTTTGGCTTCTAGAGCGAAATGATGTTTTCAAAGAGAGAAATGGTGAGGCGATATGGTTCATTATTGCTTTGGTGGAATGTGAGGGTTTCGTTGAGAGAGACTATGTCATAGTAGAAGAGATGAGTGAAGTTATTTGTATTGTAGAATTGTAGGATTTGAATAGTTTCCCTGGGGATTGGGTTTATTAATCTAACGGGTTTTGACTGCAAGGACTCTACTGCAGGGAGAGTTAAGACATGAACGCGGGAGACGCATGCGGATGAATGTGATTGTCCCTGCAAGCGGAAAGCACAATGCCTTTGGGGAGTTTAAGCCGACGTATACTTCTTTTATATTTCTTTACTATACATTTTATAGAGATATGTTATACTTATTATTGTCATATTCATGTCTTTTCTTGGATTTCCTATTTCGGTCTCAATAACTAGTTTGACCCACTTGTTTCATGCAGTCTTCTATAGTTTAACTGATCATCGATTTTAATGTACGGAGTAGTACTAGTAGTAGAATCAATAATGTTCTATGGAATAGAATCCCATGCTCCCTGCTATGCAAAATGCTCGGAGACTATGTACAATAATATGGAAATAAAATCCCAAATCTATGGGAAATGCTAAAGAATGATAAAACAAAACCGCCACACAATCCACTTCGTGATAACATCAAAATTCACATATGCACAGCATTTTATTCAGAAGTGCGGTCGCCCGATCGTCGTTGCGTGAAACTTCGTCGAATACTCTCACCCCAGGCGGAGTTGTCTAGCGAATGCATGACATCCTGAACATTCATACTATTCTGACGCGAAGTATTGGTAACTGGGGGCGCCTCTTGTGTTTCGCCAGTATCGAACGAAGTGCGATCCCCATACATGTGACGCGGGGTGATTGAGGGACTGATACTCGACCACTCCCTCGTAGGTGTGCTGGAGCCAGATACTGACCCGCTGAGATTGGTGTTGATGCGGGGAAGAGCATTTCGGTTTGCAGTTGGACTGGACTCGGCTCGTCGGTGGTGTGAGACTGGTGAGAGCATAGGGGGGAAGTTTCCATCCAAGTCTGGTTGTGTTTGAGGTGTGATTGCGCCGGAAGCTGGCTCGTCGTGCTCTTCGGGGTCATCGACTGGATCGTCGACAAAGATCTCCGGCACGGTGAAGGTCGGGACTACGCTCATCCGACCGCTCTTCTTGCGGTCAATCTGGCGGCGGAATTGGCGTGACCAGTATAGGGTATCAAAGAAACCAACGACGGTGTTTCGACGGACAGCCTCATCCACCCGTTGCAGCCGTGCTCGACGACGTAGGAATTCTTCAAGACGCAGACTCTTGCTATCGCTAATCACATTGTGATGTGCGAGGATCATCAAGCATTGGTGGAAGGAAATACCGCGATCGGGGTCTGCTGACACAAGGATTTCTTCGTAGAAGGTATTTAACCGTCTTCGCCTCTCTCGAATGGTTTGGACTGGAATCCGCGATATGATCCGAGAGAGCTCGTCGATATCCACACCAGACGAGGCATGAGAGTTTCGTCGCATGGAGTGTCGTGGCTCAGTCAGCGAAACCATCGAATTTCTGGCGTAAGAACCCATCGAGTTCCTCTGAGGGTCGATCCGGCATTTTTCCAGGATACTTCCAACCGTGAACTCCCCCTCATAGATTCGCATTGCAAAAACGCCAGAGAGCTCACCGAGTAGTCGAGGGAACTTTTCCGTGGATATAAAGCCCGTCCCATCTGGATCATACGTGGCCCACGCCTGCTTGAACCGGCGAATCTCTTCGCGGCTGATCGCGTACAGTCCGCTACTCCGCTGGTAGACGTAAGAGAAACTTTCGAAAATCAACGAAACGAACAGTGAGACGAAGATGTACATGCTGATCAGGTTCCATGCAATGAAGAGAGTTCGGGCCCACGGCGCGCTTCCACAGTCGTCGTCAAGGAAGTTGGAGTTATGCGTGCAGAAGGGGTGGGTCATAGTAGCAAAGTCCTCCATGAATTGATTCCACCCTTCTCCGCAACTTGCTCGGAACAGCAGGATCAGTGATCTGGGCACGTCACGGAAATTCTGGTTATGGTCTTCGTTCCCGCCGAACTTCGTAAGGCCAAACGCCTGGTTCATCGCAATGCCAAACACCAAGAACAGAACGAACCAGGTAGCTAAAAGATTGCCAATCACGGACAAACTGGCTGCCGCAGTCTTAAAGAGCTGATCAAGCTGGTTGTTCCTTGGAATAAGCATCAGGGAGACAGACACGAGGAAAAGCTTGTTGAGCTGTACCACGGCAGGACTGCTGTTCTTGTATGAAAGGTCAAGGACGGAGGTGACAAAAGCGCCGGGGACGACGATGAGAGAGAACAGATCCCATGAACTTCGGCTGAATCGATGCCACCCAAGGCCAATCAGTCGAATTAAGACATTCGCAACGTAGACACACATGAATGCCAAGAATATAATAGCTAAATTGACCAATCAGTAACACGCAACATTTCGAATCAAGAGTAAAAGACTTACCTCGAAGCACCTCCCACCAGTCAGGCTCGGGATAGTATTCCACCACAAGTAATAGCAGGTGAACTACCAAGACGCAAGTCACGAACCAAGCCCACCGTCCATGCTTCTTGACTGAAATTCGATAACACCACAACCGCAATTTCTTGTTCTGGTCATCGAAGGATCGTTTCGAGGGCGATATCTGTCGGAGAAGTTTCCGCAGTTCCAACCAGGAACGTTGCTCGGCTGTCAAGAAGGCAACACCAGTTTGTTCTGTGTAATTGCGCATGAAAACAGACACAAATAGCGTCAGAACAAACACGGCTCCAAGTAAGTTGAAGACCACGAAGAATAGCCCATTCTCTGGCGTCTTTAAATCTTCTGGTTGCATCATCTTTCCAGTGATGCCCATTGCATTTTCTTGTACGTCGACCCAGCCTTCTTGGGAGACAATTTGGAACAGAATGAAGAGGGAATTACCAAAGTTATCAAAGTCATAGAAAGAATTCCCAGCCACTCGTGGAGCAAGCACGTCCCACTTGTATGGCGAGCTGGAATATTCATTGACGCAGTTGACCAGATTCCCAGAGAAATCACCGTCATTGCAGCTGGCCATCTGCCCGTTGAACAGATTGACTCCATATATCGCAAATGGTATGAGGAAACTCATAGAAACCGCAGCAGCAGCAATGACCTTCCATCCCCCGACAATGATGACAGAGTGGAAAGTGTTCTTGGCACTGTCGCTGACGTTCAAAAGACGCAGCGCCCTCAGCGCTTTAAAGGCGCCAATGGCCCTGGAAACACTCCAGTCCTGGTTGAGCGAGCCGCCGACACTAACCCACAGCGTGATCAACACGAGTCCGTCAATGAATCCCCAGGAGCTGCGGAAAAAGGCGTTCGGCGTCCAAAAGAAGCCATCGGCGATCACTTTAATCGTCGCTTCAATAGTAAACACAACGGCAAAGCCCAAGTCAGTATAAACGAACCAGTTGCGGTTACTGCGGAGATATTGCCGCTGATATAAGGGTGTTGTAATACAGGCGAGAAGCACCATAGCGACAATTGCTGCATAAATGAAAGCAGAGAACGCATACCACACTGGCTTGTATGGATCAACGCCTTCAACTCGTTGATGACCGCGCCCTGGGCCGACAATTCGTTGACAAAGCTTCCGAACGAAACTATCTGGCGGGAAAATAAACAATGATTTGTTATAGTTAGGGTGTTTCACGAGGTAGGCTCGCTGGTCCCGTTTTCTCTGCTCGGCCGCAGTAACAACTTCTCTTGCCATGGTTGTCGGATCCAACTCCTCGTAGGCACGTGAAAACTTCAGCTTCGAGTAGAAAGGATTGGGTTCCCTCCGCATAACGAGCGTGCTGGCTTTCGTCCATAGAAGTGAGATCCAGCCTGGCTGGATGGTTTCTTGAGTCGCGCCTTCTGGCATTGTGCTCACCCTTCGTGTGTCCTTCGGTCTCTCCCGTTCTTGGTGCTTGTTCTCTTCTTCGAGGAACTCTTGTACCACAGCATCTTTGAGCAACATTTCCAATGCTGCAGGACCATGGTCGAGTGGATCTTTGTACCGAGCTGAATCTCGGCCCATACGAAGGATTTTCGAGAATGCTAGGTTTCCTTGGGGTGCGCCATGGACTTGTTTCTGTTCCAAAAACGCCCTGACCTGATGCATTCGCTTCTCGTCTTCTGAAACATCGAAGCTTTCCTGAATGACAGCAATGAACATGTTTAGAATGATGAAGTTGGACACAATAAACCAAAGAACGATGAATGAGGCCGAAATCCAGGCTGTGTTGAACTTGTTCGTATATGCGGTTGCATTGTAGAGAATCGTGGTCCAATCCTCACTCGACAGGATTTGATACATTCCCAAGAATGAGTTGTAGATGTTCGAAAACGTTATCATGATAGTCTCGCCACTTGGATCTTTCTCGGGGATCTGGCTTCGAAAAAGCTGTGTTGCGAAAATGGCAGACAAAAATGTCATCAAGAATAGGAAAAATATCAAGTTTAGCAGACCGACAATATTGCTGAATACAATCAGAATCAGCTTTCTGGTCACAGAGAAAGCCAGTACCACCCGATAGACCCGAAGGATCTGGAACAAGGTGAGAACTGTGTATGCACGGCCTGAGTTTCTGATAGGCGGTAGCTGGATGATGCAGGTGATGACTACAAGCAGAAGGTCTGTCAAATTACGACGCTTTCGATGAAACATGCGCCAATCCGAGGCAAATCGCAAGATAATCTCGACCAGTAAAATGATAGTGACAACAGTCTCAGTCGTATCAATGAACCGTGTTCGACTGTCAGACATAGACGAGCTTCTGAGCGCTTGCACAATAAGGTCAAAGATGATGAGGCAGACCCAGACCCACTCAGTTTGATCATATATACGCTTGAGGGGACTGACTTTGCGAGACATTGTCTCATCTTCGTCGACAGCATCAAGTTTTTGGACGGCAAAAGCACTGCGCTTGCTCTCTTCTCGAATCACTTGGAATGAGTGTGTGATAACCGCGACCAGTAAGTTCACCAACCACAAGCTCAAGATGACAAACCCGCAGGCAAAGAACAGAGCAGCTGGGAGGTAGTCTGTGTCGGTGGTGTAGTAGAGCAGGTCGGAAAATGTATTGGAGCTCATGATCACGAAGACCAACTCCAGGGAATGCACGATGTTGTCAAAGCTCATAGTTCCGTTATAAGGATTGACACCTTCCATGCATACAGAGCCTTGAGGACAAATATATCCTTTGGGGCTGAACCCTGACTCCCCATCGGAGCCAATCCACGGCATTTGTTTTCCCGTCTGTCTATCGAGGTGCCCGCCACAAAATTGCAATTTGCCCCATGCATCATTCAATGTGTAATTGCTTTTGCCTGCGGGATCCATCCAGACACAAGTTCTCTTGAGACTGGATTTGAAACTCTGGACGCCAATGATGGCGAAAAGAAGCCAAAAGAAACTGATAAGGAATGCGACATGGACGAGCAGAGGGGCTGCTCGCTTGAGACTTCTAAGAATTACCTTGAGGTAATTGGTTAATATCCCAAAAATCTTATTCTGGCAACAGAACGCTTACCGAAGTTCCGTTGGTCATAGCAAGGAGACGTAAAATTCGGAGACAGCTTAACATGCGAAAGATATACAGTTGGTGTGTTTGCTCAACGCCCGAAACTGAAAGGAAAAAGGATATCCAAAAGGCGATCACGGCTACAAAATCAAGCCGGTTAAAAGAGTGTCGAAGGAACGCGCGATGAGCAAGTCTAATGCGACGTTTGTGTAGAGGATCATCGTAGACTTCGGGGTCCAGTCCGTTCATCCCTGTAAAGGTTCGCAGGATTGACGTTTGAGGCTCAGCCTGAAGCATCGATGTTTTCTTGGTTGTTCCCTGCCGATGCGGTGTGATCAGGTTCCTGCCCTTTTCCGCGATTGCTTTTCTGATGCCGAGGTTGCGATTAAGTGTGCTGTACTCGACAGGGTTAAGGATGAGTCCAGACACCAAAATTTTAGAGCATATCTCAAGCGTATAAATGATGAAAATAGCAAAGAAAACCCAATCAAACTTGCTGCTTCCCCATGTCACTGAGTCGGTAGAATTAGGGAGGGAATTTTCAACGGTCAACAAAATGGTCTGGATAACAATGACGATCAAGATAAAGGGTTCCATGAACGAATTCACCAAAATGTCACACAGCCACAGTCGAAGAGGGTTATTAGGTCCCAGGATGCCAAGTGACCTGCCTCTAAATGGATTGTTCCGATCCCTCCATGATCTGCCGGAGGAACGCTTCTCTCGAGCTGTTTGGGCCTCTGGGTTGGAAGTAAATGCATAATCCACCATCGCTGGCAAAACCGGCGGTCCGTCCATTCGTGCATTTTTATCGAGCTCCTCCCTCTCAATCGATTGCTGTACGACTTCCGGTTCGTTACTCAGGTTGACCACTCGTTGGGACATGGATTTGACCATTGAGCCGGCGCGCTGCAGAGCCCCGCTGGACCCCGAGGGAGACAAAGAGCGCGATCGATCCCGGACACCGCTGCCACGGCGGCTTCCCATCCCATCCTCCAGGTGAGGAAGGTCATCGCCCAGTCTTGAACCACCAAAATGCACAGAGTGACCACCAGTGTCAGTGCTATTTCGCTCTTCCCCATTGGCAGCGCCGCTCATTGGTTGTAAATATCGAGGATCGGTCAGCCGTACCCTATCATCTTCGTCTCCTGGTGCGTTGTAACCGTGCGGGTCGTGGGGATCGTAAGGGTCTAGAGGTACAACGTCAAGGTCGGAAGATGCATCATCAAAACCGCGGCTTGCTGATGGGTCGGAGGACGATTCCCTTGATTGTGGCCCATTGAAACTGAGACCAACCGATGACATCGCTTGCGCGAAACCACCTAGGTCATCAACCGGCGAAGCAACCTCTGCATAGCTCGTTTGTGAGGGTTGGAATGGGCTCCTGCTCGGTCCAGCCGCATCAATAGGAGACTCTTTCGCAACACTCTCATAATTTCTCCGCGACCCCCTCCCAATCAATGATTGTCGCGAGAAGAGACCGGTGCCCGCGCGGCTTCTACCGCGCTCATTAACAGCATTTCCTTGTTTCGATAGATCTTGGAGAGGGATTTGGTTTGGCGGAGCGTTTTCGTCATTATCAAGGTTCTGGCTATCTGGCGCCATCATCGGGGCAGGATAAGATATTATGGAATCGCAGACATCGCAGGCCGAATGGGGTTATTGGAGACGGTGGTGACACGTGTATTGGAAGAAAATATGTCTATAGGCGAAAAAAAAAACGAGTGTGATCATAAAACGCAAAAGATAAGAGACAAGACTCTAAATTTGGGCAAAGGGCTGGATCGCAACTGCACTAAAAAGGACAAGTCCCGGCATGCGCCATACATTTCAACGTCGTGACATACCTCGGCGATCCAGGGCTGTACGTGTATTATACGCATATTACACATTTAATGGCTTCAATTCCTTAATTATATTACTATTTCAATTGAAATACAAATTACAAACCGTTATTTTCAAGACGCTGACGAAGCCTTGCTTAAACAGTGTTGCCTGGTGGGGTTCAAGATGTCCCTTTCCTCCAAAAATAGTTCAACTTGAAAAAAAAAAGGCTTGAAATGTCTTAAACAGGTCTCAAAATCTCGAAAATAAATGTATTATTATTCAATCGGTATCCATCTGAGAATCCTTTTCTTTAACATGTTGTCGAACGCCATCCAGGAACGCATCAACCGCATCGCCGCCACCAAGGGGTACTCCACCTCTCCGCATAAATCCTCCATTAGCGACGGGGATCTGCAAAGCCTCACTAATACTTGGAAGCCCACCATCACGGAGGGCTACAGTAAGACTAGCCAAACTTTGCATGAATTGGGGAGAACGAAGCACTTTTCGGAGAATATCTTTTTTCTGGGAGAGGTCGAGAGATAGAAGAGCAGCTTGGGCAAGTTCCGGGTCCGTATCGGCTTCCGAAGCCTCTTCAGCATTGCCCTGGGCCAGTAAAAGCAGTGCGGGTGGCAAGAAACTCAAAAGATGATCAGCAGTATTGGTATCAGCAGAATCGATAAATTGCAGCGTAGTCGAAGGTGGAAGAAGGTCTTGGAGTGTCGTAGATGGTCGTTCGGGATCTTGGGATTGGTTCTGGCTCTGGCGGCCGCCCAGAGACTTCAAAAAGTCCTGGACAACCGACGCTGGATCTTCCCCGGCAGTTGCTCTGCAAGGAAAAAAGGCAAATTAGCGTGGACTGTCTAAATCAAGGCTGCCAGAGATATGTACCTACGCTCGTCCACCGTCGGCACCACCCTCTCGTGACTCTTGTCCTTCCTCACGCACGTCGCCGCCGGTCGCATCGGGGCCAGCACCACCGCTGCCTGTGCTGTGGTATCGGCCGCGATCATGATCGGTGCCTTCCACGTCCTCCATGGTCTCATCATCATCACCGCCCGAGGGCCGACTGGGAAGATTGGCAATTTCATGCTCTACATCAACCTCTTCACCCTGCAACAAGACATCAACAATTTCTCCAAGCTTCAAGTCACGGGGGCTGAACCAGCTTGGGTCGCCGTCCTCGTGCTGGGACCGGGACTGCATCCAGAACAGGTATCGCTGAGAGCTAGAGGAGAACTTCAGGACAAAGATTCGGCCATTTGTAGCGTCCCTGCCGGACGGCTTGTAGGGAGTAAAGCTGCCATCGGAAGGAATCATCATAAGGTCAAGCTCAGGCTCATCTAGTGAAGCGCTACGTGAGCGCCAGCAGAAGTGGATAAGATCATCTTCGGAGTAAAGGTAGACATAGCCCGGAGTAGGCTTCGGCTTTACGGCGGCAGGAGTACTAGATGTCTGAATTGAAAAGGTCAGTCAAGTTGCAAAGTAGATATGAGTACATCCAAAGGATGGAATTGATCAACTATCCCAGCCAGATCCGGAAAGCTAAGCTCACGTACATCCAGGTCGCAGATACCTGCTTTGAAGGTGATGATCGGAGCTATCGACATGATGGGAATTTGATTCTGAACAAAGAGCTGACAAGAAGATACTGTATAGGCAGAATCGGCACCCTCCAGGTAGATAAAAAGAAGTGTTGTGGAGGATGTAAGAGATAGATTATACAGAAGGAGAGAGAGGCTGCGAGCGGTATACGTCAGTTGTTTGTTTCGAGTGCTTCTGCGTAAGTGGTTTTACAGTCGCCCGTACACTGTGGCCTTACGGATCTGGCATCAACATACTGAGTTACCGCTTTCCAAAATTGGCTAGGGCTGTCGGTTAAACACGTGATAGGGCTTCGTACACACAACCCTCGACGAATTCCCGCACTGGAGCCGACTCCGCTTAGCAGTCCAAGTCCTCACCCAAATCTCCAACAACCACCCCGACAACCATTCATCCTTCGCCAGCAGCCATCATGTCGGACGGCCAGACGAAGCAGTTCGGGAAGAGCCAGAGGGTCGTGCCCGCCGACAAGGCCCAGAAGTGGTACCCCGTGGACGATCAGTCGCAGCCCAAGAAAGTCAGTACACCCTATCAAAATGGGACGGCACAAATAAGAGGAGGACATACGACTGGCACACGATCTGCCCCGATGATTGCGACGATAGCACCGGTATTCTGAGGAAGAGCCTTTGTGAATTTACGGGGTGACATCCAACCAGACACCGGTGTCAATCGACGACACAAAAGTTCATCAAATCTTGTGATCTTTTTCCGAATCGCATATCATCCGGGGAAGATCAGGCTATGGCGAATGGAGATCCTTGGGGATTCATGGGAATCGCTGGAATTTGTCTGACATCAGAGACTAACTACTTTGTGTGTTTACAGGTTCGCAAGACCCTGCGTCCCGCCAAGGTCCGCGAGACCCTCGTTCCCGGCACCATCCTGATCCTCCTCGCTGGCCGTTTCCGTGGCAAGCGTGTCATCCTCCTCAAGTCCCTCGACCAGGGTGTCCTCCTTGTCACCGGTCCTTTCAAGATCAACGGTGTCCCTCTCCGTCGCGTGAACGCCCGCTACGTTATCGCCACCTCCAAGCGTGTCGATATCTCCGGTGTTGACGCCAAGTCTATTGAGAAGATCTCCGCTCCCGGATACTTCACCAAGGACAAGAAGGCTGAGAAGAAGACCGAGGAGGCTTTCTTCAAGCAGGGCGAGAAGGCCGAGGTACGCATCTTGTCTAGGATATCATGTTATTGAGATCAAATACTAATTTCTCTTGTGATTACAGAAGAAGGTTGTTGCCAGCGCTCGCGCCAGCGACCAGAAGGCCGTCGACCAGGCTATCCTTGCTTCCATCAAGAAGGAGGATTTCCTTGCCAGCTACCTCGCTACCACCTTCAGCCTCCGAAACGGCGACAAGCCCCACGAGATGAAGTGGTAAATGTGCGGTAGCCGCGGGTTCGGTAGATAGTTGGGGAGGACCATTTTTCCAACGAGGGGCGGCTCGATTGCAGATCGGCATCCTTTCGCGACTTTCGGGGGGCCGGTTTCATGAACCATGTCATGTAATTCCTACGGGATCCGTCAAAACACTTTTCACTTTTCTTATGATTTGCGGTTAATTCGGACATCCGGATGTCGTTCACACATGTTTCAAGAAACCTGTTCCTTTTGCGCGTGGCTGATTTTGCATGAAGCTGCGTTATGAAGAAAGACTTCAAGCAAAAAAAAAAAGATTAAAAATCACCTCGTTCCAGCAGGCGGGCTGGATTCTCTTTTTATGTTCAGTATGACCTCCCATTTCAAGGTTCAGGCGGCAATCCAAAATTGGGCAATTCCTTCGATTCATCTATGCGTCCCGCATCCCGCGATCTAATATCTGTAAAGACACTAAAATATAAGGTTGCTGGGCCTTGTCTATAATCTACGTAGTGGATATTTTGTGTGGAACTGGCGAGATCTCGAGATCTAGGCTGAACTACGATGTACTCCTTATATTTAGTGTAAAACGAATATCGTGACACATCTTTGGTGCTCAATGGATATTAAAATGGCTGCTTAATTATACTGCCGTGCCATTTTCATGTAATTTTGGCATTGTGCGATCAGTTTTCTATACCCAATGTCCCATGGCGGCCACCACTTCAAGATATATATATCCAACCATGTACACCCTCACAGCCACTAATTGCATAGAATTTGCTAATATTCAATAATTAGGGTTATACGAAACCTTCTAATGTTGACATTTATAGTGATACCAATGTCATAAAGCCCCAAAGTCCAATCTCGCCGAATATATATATTGTAATGCTAATATTGAACAACCCTAACTCCCACCTCAAACAAAAACGGTAAAAACAAGACAAATCTACATAACTGCAGCCCCAATGGTTCATATATTCGTCAATCTTCGTCTCATCGTCGCCCGGGCCCTCTGCCCTTCGACGAAGACGACGCAGCCTTTCGCCTCGCGGCCTCATATGCTTTCCGCATATCCTGTGGTTCATCCGACTCATCACTCGAAGGCCCATCGCTACTCGAGTCTCTAATAGCAGTACCAAAAATCCAATCCATAATACCCCACGGGCCAAAATTCCCTCTTGCACCCATCAACGAATGCATATCCATGCGACGGGCGATCCCACCCAAAAAGAAGTTTGTCGGCATGACAGTATATCCAGAATATGCGAAGGTCTCCTCGATAGAAATTAACAGTAGGTACAAAAGATATGTAAGCATATGGAAGCGGAAGATGATGGCCGGCGCATAAGTCGGGACGAACTTGGTAATCAGGTAGGTGATCGGATGGTCGTAATGTGCGGATAGTGGAAATGGAGCAGGCAACGAATGAAACCACGCTCGGTGCCATCTGGCAAGCATAGGAGACCATCTCGAGTGTAAAGCATAGCGGTGAAGGACATATGTGAGGAACTACCAAAAGGAAAAACAGAATGTCAGCAAAGCACACCACAGCAATATAGTCAGGGGATTTCAATCAACTTACTTCTCGCCCTAGCATTGCTAGAGTTAAATCTTTACATACCTCAAATGGCATAGGAAGCTTCATTGATACCTTAAGCGCACTGCGCTTACCGAGCGTCTGGACAAGTAACGTCTCAAGTAGCCCTTGCATAGCGATACCCAGGCACAAATTGAACAGTGCCCACGCGGCGACCTTCAGTTCCTTCGCGCGTATCCGACGTCGCCTCTTTCCACCTGGCAAGCCGGTCGCGCCATACGCCTTGATGTGAATCGCAGCCGATGGGGTTAGGATATCGAAGAGGAAGAAGATAAGGGATGGCAGCGCGAAGAAGAGTACGCGCACTGCGATCGTTCCAAACAGTTCCACACGGAGTCGGGAATGCGACAGTACCAGCGTTGACCAAGTCATGTAGAAGAAGAGTAGGTTCAGGCTGGTGCTATAGGATGACAAGACCGGAACTAGGAAGATGGAAAGCATCGGTATAGATAAAAGAGCCTCCATATTGACAGTTTGTGCAGTGATTGATGTTAATGACGTTGGAAGATTCGAGGGTGAGTTTGGTTGTATGTGCAATCTCTATCGAGTCGGGGGAGCGACGGTTTTGTGTGATTCTAGCAATTTCTCTTTGTGCTGAGAATAGTAACCTGCAATCGGTTGCCATTCATATTTGGGACAAAGACTCTTTGAAACTTCGGTCTGGGCAAAGCAATTGGAGACAAAGAGAATTCGAGGTCGAAAATGGGGTGGCAGGATAAAAGATAAGCTTGGTTATCGATATCGTACGTCATCATCCCCGGACGGGTACCCGTGGACATTGGGGAACCGCATTAATGAAAAGGTTCAAATAGCTAAAAATACGAAAACAAATATGCCATTAAGCCATTAATTTTTACTGTACAATAAGAATATGTAACAAAGGTTAAAACGGATTGAAGAGTGCATAGGTGTTGGGCGGGGCAACTGCAGGAGGTGCCGTACAGACGCTCAGGGTATCATCATACATGAAGCAGTCAACAAGCCATATGAAGAAAATACAAATACACCGATCGTTATGAAGAAGCAGGGACACTGGCAGGTTTCGCAGGTTTCGGCATCCCATTCTTCTTTCCCCAAGCGAATGTCTTGCCGCGAAGGTCGGGAATGACTCCTAGGAATACGAGGTTGCTGAGCCAACTGAGCATAGTGTCACCGACAACGCCATTCCTTGGGCTAGGCCCAAGAGCAGTGCCTTTCATGATGGCACCAATAAAATTGGTAGTGACCAGGTACTCGCCACGCTCTAGGGCACGGACAGAGATTTGGGCGACCTCCGCTGGCGTTTGGGGCTTGTCGGCTTCTTCGAGTTTCTTAGTCAATTCAGGCTTCATCTTTTGCTCGTTGTCATAGCCGGGTGAGAGTATCCCCATGGGGAAAATGGTGTGGATCTTGACATCTGCAGCCGGTGCGTCACTGCTTCCCCGTTGGGTATAGGCTCCGTTGTACATTTCGATTTCCTGGCTCAGAGTATCTGATAAAGAACGAATGGCTGCCTTGGCGGGCGAGTATGGCGAATAGCCAGCGATGGGAACGAATGCAAGGGTAGAGCAGGTGAAAATGAGATGTCTCCGGGATGTTTTCATCTGCGATTTGGGAGCAACGGGTTCCAGCCAGTTGCGCAGGGTGGCATGAGCTGTGTTGGCCGCAGTCCAATAAATCGTGTCCATTTGCTCTCGGTGATCTTGGATGGGCACATCGATGAAATATCCTGGACGGGAGAAGCCCGCACAGCACCAAACAATATCGGGAGCTGCTCCAGAATTCCATGTTGTCGTTTCTGCGATGACTCTTTCGCACTCAGCGGGATCAGTGAGATCAGCGCTGATATAATGGAATCTCTGCTTATAGATATTCGCAGCCTTGGCCTAGATGATAGGTGAGCAATATTGATCATCTGACCATGGAGGGATGTCTGACCTTCATCTCATCAACGGTAGTCTGAAGCTTGGAGACAGTGCGTGCAACCACGACAACGTGTGCACCTTTGGAAGATAGCTCGAGTGCAACAGCTTTGCCCATGCCATCGGAGCCACCGGTAATCACCACAGTCTGGAAGATCCAGTTAGGACGTGCCATATAGATCACTGAGTCTTGCACATACCTGCCCCCACACATTGAACTCGTTTGGAGTTTCGCGGCGAAACATTTTAGCGATAGTGTAAATAATAATTGTGCAAAAGAGTGCAGAAGCGCCCAATATCGGGGTTGATGTATTGATATACGAGGAGTGCAATGAAGAGAGAAGTTGAGGGAGGGGGGAACGAGAAAATAACTGGCGAGGGTCCATGGTGGATGAATGGCAGCTGCGTCTGTTGATTGTCCTCGAAATGGAAGGCACGACTTGAAGAGGCAGGAAGCCGGTGAAACTGAAATACTGAAAGTTGGCCTGTATTTAACCTTTCAAGGTGCAGTATTGTAATAATACCAGTATTTGACTTTCCACAAGTGCAAACAGAGCAAAGCCCCCACTTGAGGTTAGCGCAATCAAGGCGGTGAGAGACCAAAAAATAATTTTATCACAGTTTATCGGCCGGACTGACTGGACTGATTTGGTTCACTGTCGATTGATTTCTACACGCAACAATGGGCAGCAAAAAGAGAAAGGCCGGTCGCCCGGCCCAACCGAAAAACGCCCCTGAGCCCTCTAAGTTTGACATCGAGGAACGGTTTGACGACTCTGAAGATGACTTCCAAGCCGGCCGTGACCAGATTCTACTTGAGGAAGGCCCAGAGGCAAAGAGACGGCGGAGAGTTGCCGAGGAAGGTATGTACCTTTGATTATACCTAACCTAATGTAAGCAGTGTCTTACTGATTGCCACAGAGGACTTGCTCCAACCCTCCGACGAAGAAATTCTTGGCTATGAATCCGCAGACGAGGATGATGACCTCGAAGAATCAGAAGAAGAAGAGGAATATGATGATATGGGCGAGCCAAAGAAGGGCGGTGCCGAATCAGAGGAAGAAGATGAAGGCATTGCCGCCTGGGGTACATCGAAGAAGGATCTTTACAACGCAGATCAGATCGAGACCGAGGTTGATGCATTGGAGGAAGAGCAGGAGGCCAAGCGACTACAGATGAAGCAGTTGCAGGCTATGAATGAGGCCGATTTCGGTTTCGATGAGTCTGAATGGGTGGAATCCGGCAAGGGTACCGAGGACAGCGCCGATGCTGGTGTAGTGACTGAAGTGCTTCCACAACTCGAGATCACTGAAGATATGGATACCGATGAGAAGCTGAAGATTTTGAAGTCGAGATACCCAGAGTTTGAACCGTTGGCGAAGGACTTCGTCGACCTGCAAAGCTCCTTTAAGGCTCTTCAACAAGCAGCCTCGGAGGTTTCCTCAACAGACGACGACTCAGAAGAGCCACAGCCATCTCCAGTGCCAGTGATTAAATTCCGTGCGTTATCTGCATACCTTGGTACGATCAGCATGTACTTCATGCTCCTCTCCTCCCCATCCCCCGATGCGACTAGCGAACATGTTCCGATGACCCCCGCCGAACTCCGACAACACCCTGTCATGGGATCGCTTGTCAAATTCAGGAAGCTTTGGAACACTGTCAAGGATCTCGAGGAGATGGAGGAACCCACTGAGGAGCCCATTGAGGAGACTAAGACCGAAATCAAGAAACAACCAAAGACTCAAGAGCCCAAGAAGCCGAAACAGAAGAAGCTCAGCAAGGCCGAGATCGCACAGGCAGAAGCCGAAGCTCTCCGCGACGAGCGTCTCCGCCAAACAGAAGCCGGCCTCGCCGATCTCGAGAACCTGGCTACTAAGCCTGCCCAGAAGCGCAAAACACAAAAGATCAAGGCACCTCTCAAGGATGATGACTCTGACTTCGGTGACGAGGATGCCCTCACAGCCCATGAGGCAGAGGAGAAGGCCAAGCAGAAGCGCTCGCTCCGTTTCTACACCTCGCAACTGGCCCAGAAGTCCAACAAGCGCAACGCAGCAGGCCGTGATGCCGGCGGAGACGCCGATCTCCCATACCGCGAACGTCTGCGTGACCGCCAAGCCCGTCTCAACGCGGAGGCCGAGAAGCGCGGCCGCAAAGAACTCGCTCCCGACCAGCAGCTGGGTGGTGACAGTGACGACGAGGATCGTCGTGTTGCCAAGGAGCTCCGCCGCGGCGAGGGTGCCAAGGATGACGATGACGACGAATACTACGACATGGTGGCATCCCGCTCCAAGCAACGCAAGGACGATAAGCAGGCTCGCGCAGATGCCCACGCTGAGGCCGAGCGCCTTGGTGGAAAAGTCTATGTGCAAGAGGAGGTTGGTCCGGATGGCAAGCGTGCTATCACGTACCAGATCCAGAAAAATAAGGGTCTGCACGCGAAGCGCAGCAAGGACTCGCGTAACCCGCGTGTTAAGAAGAGAAAGAAGTACGAGGAGAAGAAGAAGAAGCTTGGCAGTACTAAGCAGCTGTACAAGGGCGGCGAGGCCCGTGGTGGATACGCTGGTGAACTTACGGGTATCAAAAAGAACCTGGTCAAGAGTGTCAAACTGTGAATGTGTGCTTGATCATAAACTTCACGGTCTTGTGTGTATGTTTTCATGGCGTTCACTGCGGGCAGTTTCAGGCATTCGATGTGTATATAACCCCGATTTTCATCTTTTGGTTAACCCCAAGTTTCAAAAACCGTTTTATTCATCTCAATCTATCTTCTCCTAGTAGACATACGATGCGCTTGATGCATCGGGTGTTCTAGTTACTATAACCACTACTTAGACTCTTGCCCCCGATCTAGGTACAAATGATCAGCCCTGGGTAAGAGATAGAACAATGTTGCGCTACATACCCTTCAGCTTTTTGTCAGTTCGAATAGGAAACAGGGGCAGTCCCTCTGCAAATTGAGGACGATGAGGAATTTCGATAGATTGTGATTTCTGACTTCTAGTACTCGAGCTACATAGTAAATTAGTAGAGGCCAAGCGCACAATGTGAAGTGTAGGTACCTTGAATTGGGAGAAATGGGCGAAGTCGGCCCATGATCTTGAGAAAATCGATTTGGTTTCGGCATAATATTGCGAGATGCCCGTCTGATCTTTTCTGAAAACCGATCTGAGCCATTCCTGGTACTTGTACTTGTGCTTCTCGAAGTCGGACTCCCTGGCGCAGGGGCTACATATGAGAGCTCGGAGATTGGGATTGGAGCTGCGTCGGATCTTCGACGGTTGTATGAGGGTAGATTAGGGAATTCCTCTGCGATATTTTGGGGCTGAGTAGTATGGTGGGCGGCTTCAATAGATTGAAGGTCGCTAGATTGGGAAAGGGCGATTGAATGAGTGTCTGTCGGTGGATGGCCGTTATGGATTTGGACGGAGTTCGTCATGGTTGCCCTTGTTGAAGTCGGTTTTGCATTATTCACGGCATCTACAATCTGCTTATATGTATCGCCGTCGATACACAGACTGTTTTGCATTTGCTGTGCCAGTTCTGTTCTGAGGGTATGTTTCTTTGGGACATCAGGCGTCAAGTCAATCTTGCCCGGGAGCAGAACATCCTGGGTAGCGGATGATGTTTGTGATTTAGAAGCAGCCTCAACTGGATCCTGGGTAGCTGTAGTAGGTTGGTCTGGGCTGTGGGGTTGCGGATCGTCCTGCAGCATTGGTATCAGCCAGGCATAGTCCAAGGCATCTCTGGCAGTAGGGCGATCTGCTGGGTTTGGAGCCATCATGCTCGATAGAAAGGATGTGGCTTCTGGGCTGACTGGGGAATGAGATGAGTCAAAAGGTAATATCGAGTTCCCCTTGTAGTACTCGAGCAGATCAGTTTTGCCAGAAAAAGGAAACCTTCCAGTGAGCAGGTAGTAAGTGATCACGCCCAGGCCCCATATATCAATTTCAGAGGAACTGTCTGATCCCGACATTGTGCTTTCTGGGGATGAACCCCATAGTTGTTCATACACCTCTGGCGCGGTAAAAGCCGGCATGCTATTGAAGGTTTGTATACCGGTAAATCCTTCCATCACGCGCTTGCTGATCCCGAAGTCACCGATCTTTACCCACCAATCTGGACCTGTAGACAACACAAAAACATTCTGCTCAAGATTAGTAAGTATAGAAGCAAAAGCACTAGCTGGAGCATACCTGAGGCTTCAAGTCACCGTGAGCGAACCCGCTGGCATGCATGAAGTCAAGACCTTCGAGAAGCTGGAAGGTAATCTGCTGTGCTTCTCTTTCCCGAAATAGCTGTGTCATATACTTCTGCAGATCCCCAAGAGGGAAATACTCCATTGCGATAAACAGACATTCAGTGTTCTCAAACCAGCCCGATGATTTCACAAAGCAACCGTCATACTAACCATGAGTATAGGTTAGTGGGAGTATGCTGAGAATCCAGGGCATGAATACCAATCATGTACCTACCTTTTGCTGTGAAAAACGAGCAATGGCCTCTAGCTCTCGATTATAATCCATAGACCTCGATCCCGGTACCAACTTGCGCACTTCCTTAACAGCCCGGAGCTTGCCTTGACTGACACATTCTTCCAACCACGTAGTACCGAAGATGCCAATGCCGAGATCACGTTTTTTTTTCCATACTTCCTCTCGCTCACGGCGTCTCCCGCGCCGACCAGCGACTAGCGTTGATTCGAGAAAAGTGTGTGTTGTAAGGTCTGCATCAAGTTTGGTTGGGAGCTTCGAGTCCCTGACAAGATCGGAGACTTGCGACATGCGGGGCACAGAACAACCCCGGATTTTGGTTGATAGCAGTGTGGATCTTTCCTATAATACAACGTGGATAGTGTCAACCTAGCGAGACCGAACGATGTATGAGCTCTTTGTCCTGGTGCGTATGGTCGCATTGAAGATTCATGAATACAGCGTAGAAGCTAGGAGGCTGATGCTGTCAAAACGCTACACGTAACACGACCAGGGTAAAATTCGGGGTGAATTCATTATTATTTTGGCCCCCCGTTGCTACGAATGCAGCGGAGGTGGACAAGGGACTTCATTCTCCTAATGGGATAGATCGACATCACGGGCTCGGGCGATCAATGATGACATGGGGGCGTAAATGTATGTTGTACTTCGTAAAGATATCAGGGATATCATTGGCTTCCATGCGCTTGGCTCCATAATAATAAATCCTGTCACTCGAACAAGCCTTCGAAGACTGCCTTGACATGGTCTGAGCCACCTTGTGAGAAATCAATCTCCAGAAACCGTCTCGCTAGGGTGTTCTTGGAACAAGGCTGTTAGCCACATTATTCTTTTCAGGGGAACAAGCTCGTACCGCTTCTTCTAGGTCTTGCATCTCCCCTGGCGATAAAACTGCACAGGCCGCGACAATGTTCTCCCCTCGTGCGGAAAGAGACGCTATCTCGTTTGCGCGAGATACAATAGCTGGGTTGATCCCGTTGATTGCTGCACAACTATGATGCATATCAGTCAAATTCGAACATGGATATGATAAGATGCAAACATACATAGTACCGAAGCTCTTGTTGCTTCGCCCCTGACGAAGGCTGTTCGAGCCGTAAGCATCATTCGCATACCATTAGCCCAGTAGTTAGCGTACGCGCACATACTTATAAAGATACGTGATCTGGTCCTCAACTTCCTGGGTCTCTTGGCAGACTTGAACTTCCATATGACAAAGATGAAGTCGAGGTCGCAAAGCGAGGAAGTTGTTCTCGAAAATCTCATGGAAATGAGTTGCTGCAACAACTTTAGCAGGGTGCTCAAGGCACAGCAGATAATCGAGTATTCCGCAGGCAAGCCCGATGCCATCTGAATGCGTTAATTCCGTCTGAACCAAGAGCTATGGGTAGATATGAACATACCACTTTCGTTGGTCCCCTTCCCAAACTCATCGATGATGACCAAGCTCCGATTTGTGACTTGTTTCAGACAGAGGAAAATCTGCTGCAAATCGTTCATGAATGTGCTTTGGATCTAAAGACGTTTTAGGCTGCCAAATCCGAGGTTTTACACAGAGAATTTGAGATACCTTGGAGACACTCTCTTGCGTATTGATTTTGGTCAAGATTTTATCTGTGACTCCCAATTCCGCGCTGTCTGCAGGAACAAAGCTGTGATAATTAGCCTGTGTATAATCAGCTTGATGGGGAAAACATACCTCCCAATCTGTGCTAGATAGACAATCAGAGCGACCTAATTCTAGCTTAGAAAATAAGCCCCACAAGGACAAACCTCAACTTTACCTGCTTCATGTAGACACTTTTCCCTGAGTAGTTCGGACCACTTAAGAGCAACATGCTGGGATTGCGATCCATGGAGGAAGCAGCATGATTGGTCTCGGAGTCTCTTCCGCCAACAAGCAATGTGTCGTTTGGGACATAGGACGAAACAGTCAATTCTTGAAGAATATGCCTGCATCTGTCAGGAATATCGATGAATGGTTATTAACGAGCTCTTACCGGCCACCCTTGATTTTTATCACATTTTGATCAACCATTCGTGGCCTGGTCAGCTTATAAAAGCTGGCTGCCTGTGTGAGAGCAAGAAGGCTGTGGAATTTGTATCAATAAATCTCGCATCGCGCCCGGCAAGAACTAACCTATCAATATCTCCACAAATATCAGAAGCATCGATGAGCACATCCTCATATCGAAGAACCCTCTGTGCCAAGTCGTATACAATCTCGATTTCTTTCTCTGCCAATTTACACAATTTAGTTATCCATATCCATGGCTTCCCGTTGATTGGAGAGGCTTACCGCAGATAATCCCGTATATATCCCCAAGCTTCTCGTCCATCTCTCTCATGTGAAAGTCTTTGAAATACGCTCGATTTTCCGTGATGAACATCAATTCCCATTCATCATCGGAACCAGTATATGCTGCGGCGCCATGGCCATTGAGTGGAATGGCAATATTGAACCCAAGCTGGGGGAAGTAAATGACATTGACATCGACGTCGAGGGTCGCCGGGATTGTTCCGGCAATGTCGAGGGCAACGTGCTTGAGAAGGCTGTTAAGACCATCGTATCTGTCTTTGATTCTGTCAAGTTCTCTATCAATTCCTTGCTTAACCACTGTTCTTCCTTGCTCTTCAGAGTTATCAATGTCGACCTAAAAAGTCAGATGTGACATTAATTCATATAAAAAAAATTGACTTACAATTTCTTGAATCATACGACCAACTCTGTACAGCTGTGCTGCTTCAAAGACTCTGAGAGCCTACAATGTGTCAGTAGATGAAGGGTTGATATGCATATTGGGGATTGACCTTGGTTCGAAGGGTCAGGATGTGCGCGCCCGAGACCTCTCGCAGTGCATCATTGATGTCGATAGAGTAGAACGCAAACTGGTCAGTCATTAGTATCGCAATACCAGAATTGTCACTCAAACATAGACGGATGATAGCAAATCAAACATACAGCAAGAAGGCTGGCCCAAACCGTAGTTTTGAATCCAGTGATCTTAGCACTACCAGTACTAATTCCCTTGCGAAGATTGACCAAGACAGGCCTGAGGTTCTTAATGTGCTTCAATGCTTTGGTCATCTTTTCCAATGCAGCAAGATTGTCAGGGCGGGAAAAGACTCCTATGAAATCATGCCGTTCACGGATCGTTTCTAGATCCACGCTTGGGCGAAAGAAGGTCTGCTTGAGTCTTGCCCTACCCTGAGGGGTGTATGCAAAGTGCTGGAAGAGTCCATAGACTGAAAGACCCTCTTTGCCTGAACCCGACTTTTTCCCTGGGCCCTGATTAAACATATTCGGGTGTGACTCCGACTGGATAATATGGAGAGATGTGAAGGTGTTGCTGTTGATCCACATCGTATCCCGTAGATTGAACATCTGCAGTGATCGGACCCGATACTCATTTCCATCTTCGAGGGGGCTAGGTGCCGCAGCTCTTCGTCGCTGCAGATAAGTGAGTACGGCTCCTGCGCATCCAATAGTCACTGGGTTCTCCATATCGACAGAGCTAGAGATGTGCAACAATCTTCCTTCTTGGAGTGTGAAGCCCATCTCTTCTGGGTCCACTTCTTCCGGTCCGGCGAGGCCATTTTGAGGCACGAAAAACCGGATGCGCTGTTCGTGCGTAGATGAAATATCTAAAGCAAGAAGTTTGCTCTCTGCATTGGAGTAGCTGAACTCCGGCGTTGGACGAACGTCTATTTGGTAAGGAAGATACGCAGAAGAAACTACACAGAAAGTATCAGCATTTGCTTGGACTGGAAAGGGTCAAAGAGTTCTAGGACAAAGTAACTGTACCATCTGCTTGCGCGAGGTTTTGATCTTGATTCCGCGAGCTAAGATCGACACGAGGAGGTATCAAAACCACTGTAGGTTTGATTTGGAGAAGCACTGGTGATGGCTCGATTAGCACTTCAAATCTAGAACTGTACAAATAATGAACCCACGAGCGTCGATTGTCTCTATATCCCCCGAGCGACTGTCACCGAGCAGATACATCTTTTCTTCTTCGGTTGAGTAGTATGAGCACCCCACAGTTCCATAGTCCTTCATGTCGATAGCAGCAATGACATGGTCATCAAAGTCATCATCAGTAGCCCTCACCGAGCGATCTGTTTCGATCTTGGTGTCTGTAGGAAACGGAGTGCGCAATTGGTTTGCTGATGAAATCATGGGAGTTTGGGGAGGACCACTTGAAATGTTACCGGCTTGACTTGATGACGCCTTACGGCCCAGCCGTCGTCCAGAGGTACGAGGTGTGATTGGAGGGCGGGAAGCTGGTGTTCTTTTCCTTTTTAAAGAAGGCATGTTACCGAGGCCAATGGGATTTGGATACCTAGAGATGTAAAGGGGGAAAGAAATGATGGGATAGGATGAGATTAGTGGGTTCTCATTATATGGGCAGTCGGCCTATTTGGCCTAGTCACCTGCCCACGGATCATTCTTCATGCCTATACAATACAATGAAGCAATTCGATCATGAGTAGAGCTGGATTATTGTATAATAAATGAGTGGGCTAGTATACAAAGTCATAAGATGTACAGAAGATCCGACATACAAACCAAAAATTTCCAAATGCAGAACACCTTATACACCACATAAGAACGCCAGATTTCATGTTTCATTTACTCTTGCCCGTTGACCACTAGGCCAGACTTAGCTTCATCAAGAGAAACTTGGATAGTCTGACCAGAGACAACTTCACCTCGGATGATCTTATCAGCCAAGCGGTTTCCAATCTCCTTGGCAATGAGACGGTTCAAAGGCCGAGCACCAAATCTCGGGTCGTAGCCTCTCTCGCACAGCCAGTTCTTGGTCTCGTCGTCAATCTTCAGGGTCATACGACGGTCATCGAGTCTGGCCTGAAGCTCTCGTAGTCTGATGTCAACAATGTCCCGTAGGGCATCCTTTGACAGGCGCTTGAAGATGATAAATTCATCAATTCGGTTCATGAACTCAGGTGGGTATGCGCTCTGAACCACATCCATAACGGCAGTTTTGATCTTTTCTGGGACCTCGGCATTATCGGTGTCGATAATTGGGTACAGAGGGTCCGCTCCGACCAGGATACTAGCGCCAAGATTGGAGGTCAACACAATCAGGGTGTTCCGGAAATCGACCTTGTGGCCTTGGGCGTCTGTTAGGAAGCCTTCATCGAGGACCTGCAGCAGTAGCGCTGAAATATCACGATGCGCCTTTTCGAACTCATCAAATAACAGAACAGCGTAAGGCTTCCGTCTGACAGCCTCGGTGAGCTGGCCAGCATCATCATATCCCACATAC